TCACTATTTTCCAATTCAAAGTTGTCAATTTTTATAAAAACACTGAATATCTAAATTCGCGAACAAATTACACAGAATTTTCCAACGAAATTATTTGAAATTGCAGTGGAACAACCTAAAGTGTTCTATACTTGTAGAATGTGAGACTTTTATCATTATTTACTCTTGAATTGCATCCATTGTCATTTTAAATGGACTTTTCTCACAGGATCATGTCCACATGTGCCCACAAATCTCTCATGCATAAAATATAATCAATTTTTTTTTTCTACCTCTGGGATTACAACAAAAGTCACCGTTACGGCGAGGCTCTAACTTCCGTAACGATACCTCGGAGAGCATGTGTTGGTTATATTTCACGAAAATGTGGAAAGAGAAGGGGAGAAAAAAAACAGAGACGGAGAATCAAGCGAAGCAATTGGCGATTATCGATTACCTGTCGCGGGAATTGAACAACGACTAAAACTGACACTTTGACGACCCCGAAAAAACGAAACAGGGTGAACACTTTGTGTTTCTACATTTCCATTGAAAAACTATATGTATAGACTGCGGAGGAAAAAAAAAACCGAGTGTGCATATGTGTTACTACCCTCGCGCCTGGGGTGTGTGTTTTTTATCGAAGCCATTATGCACATTTTTTCCTAGCCAAAAGTTCTGAAAAGCCTCTTTCTCACTTATTTCCATCACTCCGTGACCTCAACCCCGTTCCGTTGTCTTGTATAAATGAATCAACCAAAATAAGGCAGTGGGGAGAGTGAGACATAATGTTTTCTCTTCTCGGAAAAAATAACGTTGTTTGACGTAATTGTGATTGTAATTAATTTTTTAGTGTGTAAAAATTCCCGACAGAGCATTTCAAAAGCTCCAGAAAATATGGCTTTTAAAAGCCTGCTCATTTTTTCATCGGCCAACGAACTTGGGGATTCTCGCCAAGAAATCAAAGTCTTCACTTGGTCGCGGCGGTCTCCACTGGCCTCCCAGTACTCTCGTGATTCGTGATTCAGTTAGGAGTTTGAGGTTTGAGGTCGAAGCGTCATTATGTCGCCGAGCGTCGACGCTCGCGGAGACTTGTGGTGGTGAAGAAAGACAAAGACGAAAAGACGAAAGAGCAGAAGCTACAGATCGAGTAGCTTGGAGTCAGCGGTATGGTGTGGACGAAGGTGGATACACACCAGAAGGTTGCGTGCAAGTGGCAAAGAGTGGGAGAGAAATACATCAGCAGAAAGGGTTTTATCCGCAGAGTGAGGAGAGGCTCGAGAGAGGGACAAAAACGAGGCATTAGCGAGCTGTCGAGCTACCGTGCAGGCGCGCTGCGCTGTTCACCTCGACCGCCCGCTGATGTCCACTTCTACTTACCAAATTAGCATTATTACTATTTCCCCCTGACTTCTCGGGCACTGCAATCAGCCACAAAAATGTAATCAATGTATAAACCCAGTCAGTAATTCGAATAAAATAAATTTCAGATGAGAGAGAGAGAGAGAGAGAAAAAAAAGAAAAAAATAAACGGACTGATGAAAGAAACCTTCCTTCATCTTCATCGCCTGACTTAACGACCACAAAGTGCGTTACCCTGGGAATACACCACGAAGGCCAATATAACTTACTTTCACAGACTCCCAGACAAGTTGAATATTCTCTCGCGCGCTCTATATATTATCCGACCTGTGATGCACACGTCACTGTGGAAAAACTTGCGCACCAATATGGCTTTTTACCATTTGAATTCTACACCGCGGGAAATCAGATCTCGGGTGTAAGAAGTAGGGGAAATCATTTGAATAGAACATCACGTTTTCAAGTAATAACGAGTCTACTTGTGAGTCAAGCGTCAGCTTTAAATTGCTGAGAAAAAGATGTTCAACTTTGTAAAATGTTGGTGGAATGGATGAGAGATGCGAGTCTTCCGCCGCGACTTGAACGGAATCGGATTTTCTACAAGTGGGGGAGGGGTGTATGAAATATATATCGATGTAAAGCCATTTATCGTGAATAGTCATGATGACAATCTCAACTGACGAGAATTTTTATATGCAATCACTTCACTGTCAATTTCAGCATTTCGTATGTGCAATTTATGGAAGCCTAAATTTGTGGTAATTTAATTGACAGTTATGCGGTCTAATGTAGTAGGTAATTGTTGTTAAATATTTAATATTTTTCACTATATATTTATTAAGAAATTTTCTATGAAATTGTTAGAATTTTGTTGAAATAATTCATAAATTCTCTTATTCAATTGGCTGAAATTGAAGAGAATTAGGTATGATGATTAATAATTAAATGTAAGTAATCCATATGATACAAGCGAACTTTGGGCGCCCCTGATGGTCACACAGGCCCGTAAGACGAAGAGACTCCTCGTCTTACGCATCCTCATCCCTTCGACCCCGCGCCCAAGCCCGCGCATATATGCATCACTCTCAGTCTGCCTGGCGTGAAACACACAGCACGATTCCTCTCCATATGAGTAGAACAGAGAGATCTCCTCATGAGGTAATTATTATTACCCCGTGTTTGTAGTTGTGTGTAAGGGCCCATTGCCAAGCCAAACAGCGGGGAACCGAAGAAAAGAGTGCGTTCGGTGTGGTTCCCTGTAATCAGTGTTACAAGGGGAAGGGAAAAATACGGGAATAGAAGATGTGAGGAACATAAAATGAACGAAATCGAAGAGGAAGAGACGCACGTATGAGTAGGCGTCCTCAAATTTATCCCGGCCTCCTTCAGCACCTTCCTCACGTCAACGTGAATTTAAAATTGTCTATTTTCTCGTCGAAGACTCGAGTTGGATCGGATTCAGAATGGAGACGTTTTGTAGCAATACTCGCACGCTTCACTGAATCACACTGATGATATTCGTATTCTAAGATAAAGGAAAAAATAAAGATCCTTTGTATGTACCTTTGAACTTGTTTCCAAATGCTTTCTCTCTCTCTCTCTCTCTCTCTCGGTTTTTTCCACATTTTCCTTTTTCACTTGAGTTTTATCCGAGAAAAATGCTCTTTTTCAAGTGGCAATTTTCTTTTTTTTGTTTTTTTTTTTTGACGAACCAAGACGAGTATGGAGAAGCATCTGAGGATGACTTGGGGGCACGTTCGAGTTAGTTAGACTCCTGGGTGGCTGTTTATTCTTCATGGGTTTTCATTTCCACCAATTTCACTTGTTTTCAAGACCATTCTCCTCGTCAACACACTTTTTCAGGGCTATTTTTGTTTTTGCTTGGGCCGTTTTTTTCGGACGTACCACTCTCCAAGTTCTCTTTAGCAATCGTATCGCTTGTAATAAGCGGTCTCAGCGCTGAGAAGTGTACCCACGATTATGAGGCTCCCTGGGTTGTCGAGTTAAAGCCCTCGGTTCAGAGCAAAACTATAAGCATAAAACTGTTTCTGTTTCTTCGAAGGGCATATTTAAATTCATTTACACAAAACTTGAGGCACTACAGGAGATAATTATTATTAGGGTTTCAATGGCACGTGCACTTTGTGGTTATGGCAAGAATGAGGCAATAGTCGGGTTCATAGATTGTTGGAGTTAAAGGTTGAACTATTGTTTCGACGAAAAAGTGGTTTATGCGTTATATTCAACCATTTGGGGGAATAAAAATTGAATAAAATCTCAAGGATTATAATGTCATTCTCAAAATGCTAACTATCCACAATTTTTCGGAAATTTAAAGATTGATGATGATTGATTAATCTTCAGATTCAGTTCCGGTTGATCTGAATCCTTAAAAAGTACATGGATATTCCCGAAACCCAAGAGGATAATGATGATGATGATAATAATAATAATAATAATAATAATAATAATATAATTCCCCAGGATCAATACGTCAACAAGGAGGTCGATTACTCTTGCGGCAGACGGTGAAAAATTTTTATTCATCGAACGCTATGCGGAGCGCGCGCGGGAAAAGTCGAATAGACGAGTGTCAAGGAGTGAAAAAAAAATAAAGAGGGGTAATGGTGTCGTGGTGTCAGCGACAGTGAAAAATTCGCCAATTAAAAAAATCTCATTTCTCCGGATAACGAGGGGTGGCGTATAATTAACGTCAGATCCCCCGCCGCTGCCGAAAAAAATGATTTATCGAGGTCGGTCGACTATACATATATATATATACACGGGTGTTTTGGTGTGTGCTCTACGCCCAGGGTAGCTTATCATAAATTAATGAATGATCAAGAAACGCGGCTAGGCCGGGTATTGCCGAGAAAATTGAGGGGGAGTTTGAAGGAAAAAAAAAGAATATGAGAGTAAAACTGTAACGGGAACCATCAATATGGGGCTTCAAATATTCATTCAAGTACCCAGGGGTACCTAGCGGGCGTTAACAGCAATGAATCTTGGTTTCTTGTTAACGAAATTTGAATTTATAAAATATTCAGATGAAAATGTATCGATACCGGAGTCTCATCGATACTTTTCGGCCATAATGCGGGCTTGTAACATTCAATGAGTCTTTTCTACTTGAAAATTTTTTCAGTGACCTTGGGTTTGAGTGCCCGGCTTCGAATCAAGTTTGAGTCGAATTAAACCACTAACTGCACCAATGAAAATCATATCAATTGATACAGAGAAAAAATTCATCATGCGGTGATCAATTTTACATATATACTGGACGGAAAAAAGATGAAATTTACGATGAAGGATATCTTGGGTTGTTAGTCACATTTCATGCGACGATTGTTGTTTGAATTTTGCGGGCATGTTGTGAACATATGTCAGAATAAAATGTCTTGTATTTCTTTTACAGGTATATATATATATCAATGATTCTTGCTCAGAATTTAATCAATTCATTCCAACTTAACATGGTTTCAAATAAAATTTTAAAAATTTTCAATTATTCATAATTACTTGCAGGGGAATGTGTGACACGCTCGTGTAATTTTCACGGGAATTCCAGCGCGCTTGGACTGTCTGTATTACCGGCTGGAGCTCCAGAAGACTTACCATCACCTGACCTCAGTACCGCGTGGGTGCGCCACCCTCGCAACATGGCCACGTGCTAGACGTGTTTATGATCTCCGATGTTGTGTAATTCCGCGAAATAAAAAAGGACACATTGAAAATCGAAGCGCACATCGGGCAAAATCCGATAAGGCATCAGTGAGGCGAGACTCTTTGTATTGGTGATGATGAATCGAAAAGGAAGGTGTGTTATTTGAACAGTGGCATGTCATACTTGTGCTAGTGAAGTTATCAAGTGGTTAAATTGTCAAAAATTTGAGATGGCCTCAACATCATCGCCACCACCCAAATGCACTTGTCAACTAGGTGACAGTGACGACACTGTCAGGCCTAGAAATGCAGCTATCAAGAATTATCGACCACATGGAAGTCTTGCTCGACTACTCTGGGAAAAACAACGAGCGGATGAGCGCCTGCAGGGATACGACAAAACTCGGGTGAGTACTTTTTTCCCTCCTTTTTAAATGTGCACCCAGCGATCGAATGTGTGCAAGAGAGACAGAGGGAGAGAGGACGGAACTCTACTTATTACCGTCCGAGGTCACGCCTGTTTGCCCCAACATTTTACCGACTGCGTATTTTCAATTTAAATTTTAGTTAAAAATGTATTAATTGAGTGTGACTTAAATAGAGAAAACAAATTTAAATATTTTTTTTTTTCGGCATTTTAGTTCTTGCTCGTTAAGAAAAATGTCATTTATCTAGTACTTTTATACAAAATCATCATTTTCAAAGAAATGTTTTATTTACTTGCTGCGAATGTACTATTTGTAAAAATATTGTGTTTAAGATTTATGGCTTGTGATGATTTGCAAATTCTCAAAGGCGCTTGATTGGTACTATTTAAATCAGCTCCGGGGAATTAATTCGACCGGGGGGTTAATGAGTGAATAATGATCACGATCAGAGTTCGTAGATATCAATTAAATTCACATTGACACTGGTATGGTCAATTCCAAGTGGTGAATACATAAAGATTTATTAATTGGAGCAATCAAATGTGAATTGACGATGGAGTCACGTGAATTGCTTTCATCTCGCATACTTTAATATATGAAGACTAAATATCTATTGATATCAGTGATACATCATTGGAATGATATGCTTCTCTGGTGCATTCAGCGCCACTATCAACTCTAGAAACCCCTAATATAAAACCCCTAATTGGTTGGGTAAGAAAATTTAAAGTAAAAAAACAAAACCATTTGCTACAGATAAGCCATAACTAGTGATTAAGTGAAAATATTGCAACTCAAGTCGACATTTTATCCATTCAGGAGCAGCTCTCCACCCAAATTAATTCATTTGAATTCTCTGAATATTATTAAGGAAATATTTCGCCATACTTAGCAATTATCCGTTGCCAAATAATTGCATCAATTAACACGTGGGCCATTATGCGATTTGGCTGTAGCAATTCGGATGGGATTTTTTTAATTCTTCTTTTTAGTGCCATTTTTGTATTTTATTTTTCCATTCCCCCGTTCGTCTTTGGAGCTGGACGAGCACTAAAATCAGGCACGAGAAGGCATTCGCCGAAGACCATCAAGTGGAAAAGATGCGAAGGCGAGAGGAACAGTGGAGAGGAGGGCCAGTAATAATTAGTACAATTACTGCGCAAGGCCAACCACTGCAGTATCCTCTCTGTCTCTCTTCTCCACTCTGTTGGGGAATATATACATCCCCAGGCCCTCTCTTCCTCTGCTCAAGATTCAAGCCCGTGCTCGGTAATTACGGATAATTACGTCCTCGATATTCCTGAAAACATCGCCCGCACACTATACAGTGTGTTGGCTCTTCTCTCATGGCCTCCGAACTCTCATCCTACGATTTTCTCACGTGTTTTAAAGGCTCTCGAATTACTTATAATTAACAGTTGAAAATATCGATTTGCCCTCGAGTCAAACATAAATATGAAATTCCTCACATTTTTTATTTTCTTGTAAATTAAGCATTAACCAATTTTTTTCCAATGAAAAATCACAGTTTTAAATTCACGATGAAATTGTCACTCCTCGTGGATGACAGTTTCATCCTCCAACTCGAACAGAAATTCGCAAAAGAATTCTCCCTTCCAACTTTTCTCAAATTAAACATTCACTTGAAAATTAAAACACTCGAAGGAAACACTCATTTTCATATTTCTCTTCTATCTGAAAAAAAAATCCTCTCAGCAGAAAACTTCAAAAAGCGAAAAATGAAGATTCTAAACTTTTTATTTTTTTTTTTTGGGCACCGACTGAGAATTTACATTGACTCAAACAGACGTAGTGTATAGACTTTTCTGGGAGGATATGGCGTCGTGAAAAGTCGACCCTACCCCTCACCTAATATCCCTAAGCAAAGTCGAAGTGGAACTTTACTTTCAATAAGGGAGAGGAGAGAACCCGAGAGTGGCAAGACGAGAGTAGCAGCTCTGTTTTTAAGGTTTTAAAAAGGGCGGCTCTTCTGGACGCGTGAGAGCAAGAGGAAAAGGGAGAGCGAGCAAGTAGACGAGAGAGTGTGAGACAGACAGTCCGTGGTGGAAGACTGGAAGCAAGGGCGCTTTGAAATATTAAGTGACTGATGGATGAGACTCCTGAGGGAAGTGCGAAAAGAGGGAAGAGCACAAGAGGAGGCGACGGAAGACACGGGTAAAAGCCAAGTAGAGATGAGAGCGTGTGGAATAGAAGGAACAAAACAAGGAAAATATAAGAAACTAAGAGAGACAAAATAAAGAAGCGGTTAGTTTGGCCCAACTCCATCTCGCTGCGGTTTTTCCCAGTGTTTCGTTGGGGAAAAAAATCAGCTTTTTCTTTAGAATTTTGAAGCACGCAAACCCACCACTTATATCCAAAAGTATATGCAGCAGCATCTCGTGTACGCTGTTTATTATTATAGGATTGATAAAAATGCAAATTATTCCATGAATATGGCAATTATAATTGACGATTTTTTCTCCACTCTGGCACCCGTAAATTGTCGTGTGCATGGTGAACGACAGTTCAACCTCAATAGCCGGGGAGAGGGGGCTGTTTTTTCAAGCACAATCATCTGACTCGTAATGTTTTACTCCTTTGAGCGTCGGACCACTGCCCGAGATTAATAACAATAGAGTGTGTAATCATTATGATTATATTGTTTGGTATCACGCGATATTGGAAAAAATTTAGGAGGAAATTTGGCCTGGAATATAATGTGTGGATGGCAGTACGCCCACAAAATAGTCCCATTAAAATCCCGTGAATTTTAATTATTTCTTACATTTTCGTACATGACAAGTTCTTTGTCCACTTAATCAAGCCAAGCAACTCAATCAATCACCTCGTCTTTATTATTATGGAAGACTTGAAGTTACTCAGCACAGAGGATTTAATTTTTTTTTCATCCATGTTATTTTCAGGATAAAATAAACGATCTTTATCGTACCGAGAAGTTTATACGCCGACAGAGTGTTAACGAGCAGATTTTCACGCATGATCAGACTTGTTCTTCTACCATTTCTCGGTTTCTTGGACATATCGAAGAGGCGCCTCCATACTATACCGATAACGATCCAAAGTGGAGGTGCAAACTTCCCCAGTGGGGGATAAATGTTATATATAATAATGCCCACTGCGAGGTGGACCCCTTTGTGAATAGGGAGAAAAAAATGTTGTGTAAGATATATAAAACCATTGGGCGATGAAAAGCACGGTAGGGGCGGGGGAGGGGGGGGGTCCATATAGTTGGTCGAATCCTGGTATGGTGCCTCTCTCGTTTCTACGAGATGCATTCACAATATTCTCGGCGCGAACGCGTTCGTTAGCCCGATCGCTTTGGGTTAAAAGCGCTCACGGTTAGTTAAACCGTCCGCTTTTCCAATCAGGCTTCATACACCCACCCGCGCGCATACAGTCACTCCAACGCCTCGGATGATCCCTTGGGCGGATATCCAATGCTTGATTGCATAGATATTTATGGGGGTAAAAATATTCCGTCAATTTCTTTTCGCTCTTTCTTTTTTTCAATTTCTATTTGAGACTTGATATGAGTGTTTCCGATGGAAATCATTAGACTGAAATGTAATTGAACATTATAATAATGTTTTCTCTCTCTCTCTCTCTCTCCAAAGAATGATGTTTTTATTAATTTTAATGCACGATGACTCGTCGGATAAAAACAATTCATGATAATTGATGATTGAGCGTTACAAATTGCCAACAAAACGGTGATAAAAAGTGTTCCATTAAAATCACAAGTCGATGGTGCGATAGGATTATTCAGGCCCGAGCGGAAAAAAATTGAGTTGAGTAAAAATGTGTCTCAAGTGCGCGTCACGATAAGACAAGTCACGCATGTACGTTTTGCACATGTCGTTGGGAATAGTACAAAAAGACAGAGAGAGAGAGAGAGAGAGAGAGAGAAAATTGTGGAATCAAGTTATTTTTAAAAATACACGGTATTTTTCAATTTTTCTATGTTTATCGTATAAACTATTATCGACTTATGTACATAAAATGTAAATACTTAGATGCAGGCACTGCTCGGGCGATGGCTATTTAATGCAAAAACTTGCAACAAATTTCGTTAAAAATCAAATAAATAATGAGAAAAAAAGAAAAATGAAATAAATCGGGCTCAACAAGGATGCGGCCAATAACATAATGGCACAGGAAGAGAATGCGTTTGACTTGCGATCCAACACGCCAGTGGAATTCGAGAAGCGTATACGAGCGCCTCCAAACATCCCCGGGATTCCTCGTGGAAAGTATGAACCTCCTCCTCTCTCGCTACTCCTTGTTCATATCGGTTTGGAGTTTACGTCCACTGGTTTTACGCGGCTCTTTGCAAACTTCCTCGGAATATGATGAATATTATGTTGAGGAGAGGAGAATCAAAAAAGGAGGAAATGACGGAAAGAAACAGCGACACCCGTGGGAAAAAAAAAAAAATAATAAATAAGAAAAGAGTCCATAGAAAGGTAAACGTTTGGTGAACATGAGAGGAGGCTTCTGTGAAACCATCGATCTTCCTTAATCGACATTCTAAGCAGATCGAAGATAAACCCATCGTCAAGAGGAACCTCGTTATTTTTTACCCCCCACTCTTTTTTACACTTGCCTTATAGGCGTCAATTAAGCGCTCACCCCGAGGTTTGACGTGTCCCATGATCCTTTAACGAGACAAATGCACATTTTTTGTTTCCGCTTTGGCTGCTTTCGATGTTTTATTTTGTTTTGTGGTTGAGATAAAATTGAGGATAAATTGCCCCACAGTCAAGTGGAATTGTTCTCGTTTAAGTATTAAATTGCTTGAAAGCTATGGGATTTGATTAAAATATATTATTGATGGGTGTCAATCGGATTTTCACATTGAAATTTACAGGTGAAAGGGTATCCAAAAGTATCTTTTACAGCTTTGGAATACTGATATGATTGTACTTGACAGGGACATATTAAATATTACTATATCAGTCTATGGCACACCATCATTTCGCTCTGGTCGCGAACGCGAGGAGACGCCGCGTATGGTGGACGTTGATTTAGGTGGCTGTGGCTAATATTTTCAACCTCGGTTACCTGTCTCGCTCGCTTATTCCAGCGTACATCCAATGCCCTGCATATATAGACCAACGAAGGGTAAAAGGGGAGCGAGAGAACTTTCCCTCCGTCCTCGCATGTAACTGGATGGTGTATAGGGAGGCCTCGGAGCACCACAGAAGTCGCCACTAATGACACAAAGAGGAATGTTGTACGGTAGCCATTTGTAATACCCGGGAGAGAAAAAACAATGAAAAAAAGTGGAATCAAAGTGTGAATGGAATATTTGATAATTTTTCTTTGCAATCATTCTTGTGTCTAAAATGGGCAAAAAAATGATCCTTGAAATATTTTCATAAACATATTTTTTTTTACACTTTTAAAACTCATAGTAGTCTCTCTTTAATGGAAGTCCTCTCTACACCATGAGATGAGCAACATTTTTCAATTATTGGCAATTAACAAGAAAAATTGTTTGCAGAAAAAAAGTTGATAACTTGATTGGAGAGATTCGAAGAAATGAAATATTCCATGCTAGACGTTCCTCTGCAAGTCATCATACTTGACATACCACTGTTTTTCCATCGGTATCCTCACCGACCTTCACTGCACCAGCAACGTCCCAGTCTCGTCCAAATCAATCATACACATATCCTGTCCCCATCGTCTGTACAAATTAAATCGTTCAGCTTGTTGTAGCTTTACAATTTAATTAATGGACGACTCACTGTTTGAATCATGAATATAACTGTTACTGTTTACGTTGCAGAGCTTTCATGTCCCTGCATGTATGTATGTATGTATGTATGTATGTATGTATATATGTAGTTGCTTTAATTAGAGAAATCAATTAACGTCAATGTCATCCGGAAATAGTTACGAAGCATGACATTTTTTTCACTTGGACAATTTGCTCGAGTAAAAGATATCAATGAAAATTTCCCACTCAACGAATTTAATTTAATAAATTTAAAAAAAAATTTAGTATTCTCTGAATTATTTTCTCTCGCATTCCAATGGAGAAACAACTCCTTGGTACCGCACACCTGGACGCCAGCGTTAATTACTCTCCCGCTATGATCAGTAGAGAACCCTTCATCTCACCAAAGTATCTCATCATCTTGTCTTTTTTCATGAAGCAGACGTTTCGACTCCATCCACGGCATGCACACAGCCAGTAAAAAATGCGGCGACGACCGACTGGTGGAGAAAAGAAGTGGAATAAAGCGTCATAAAAAAAATCCACCTAAAACGGAGCAGCAACAAGTGTCCCCCGTCGCGAGTTGAGGCGCAAAAGCATCTCTAATTATCCTCCTAAGAATGCCCCAATGTCTTGACTCGTGTGGCTGGATGCCCCGAAGCGAAACGAGACAAAAACTCGAGCTGATTGCGTTTTTCGAATATAAACCGACTCTGTTATTTCTCGGAGAGCCTTACCCACCCAGTGCGTGAGTGCCATTAGCCCCCGTGCGAATTAAATCGATTTATTCTTGATGCACTCACTTGGGTAATTGGTAATTACTCGCGCAACGTTGTGGAGTAATACGCAATGGTGCCTTTTTTAATTTAATAATTGAGAGAGAAAGAAAAAAAACTGTTGATGCACAGTTGATTGAAATAAAATGAAGGGGAGAGTAGACAGAGAATACTTGTTAATTTCTACTTTCAGTGGTACACCATTGATAAGAGCAAAATTCGCGAGGATATTTTAAGGCTGTGGGTGCCACTGGGGGTGGGACCATGTCATGATCAACCAGATCATACTGCTGAGGAGTTTCTTACTAGATCTACTGAGAGATCAGACTCACTTCCACTTCAGGCATGGCACTCGTTGGCTCGCTCTGCACTCTCTTGGTTCATCAGCCGAACTTCGATAAATGGGTAATTACTTCATCATCTTAATATTAATCTTATTAGTGATTAATCACTGTGCTCTCAAGCGTTCTTTTTTTACCATGATGATCAGATGATACAAAATGAAATATGAGAGGAGGAAGAAGAAGACGAAGAAGAAGAAGAAGAAGAAGAAGAAGACGAGAAATTCTCTAACTTGATGATTTACAGGGAGAATTCTTCATTTTCTTTTAATAATTATTATTGATCAGGCCCTTTAGTAGTATGTAAAAGAAAATTCAGCAAATTTCACTTGCATTCTCGTTGCTGTTGTCCTTTTGACATTTTGACTTGGCCTTCGCAACGACTGGGGAATAGCACCAAAGTACTCAGCACTGAGATATCATCCACATCAGGAATCTGAGGTGATGAAAGGGGGCTTTACCCATTGGCCGTTTAATTAATAACCAGGGGAGATAGCATCTCCGCCTATCTTACTGTCCCGTTCTTCCTCGACAACCTGGTGGCAAAGAGAAGGCAGCGTGTATCTGGCCCAACACAAAAGCAGAGAAGGTGGGCATGGGTTATTGATGGCCCGCTTTGTTTGCCCCACCTCATTTTTACACTTTATACTTTTTTTCATTATAAATATATCGTGGATGTTGGCTTGTTCTGTTCCCTTCCCCTCGCCCTCTGACTTGCCAAAAGCCTTTATTAAAATCCAACTTGAGTGATTAACCATTAAGCATTGCATAAAGTCTCTTCGGCTACTGAACTGCCCGCGGTGTGAAAAAAATCAAGCTCACAACACCAAAACTAAAGTTGAAGGAATCAGTCACAAGTGACTTTGATTGAATTTTTAATTATCTATTTTCTCTCCTCACATAATTTTTACTCCAAAGTTATTAATCAAAGACTCAATTATTTGCACTTCACCTCAACCTCAAGCATCTTAGTCACCATAAAGATATGACGTACCCGAGGCACTACGTCCCGCTGAGAATATTAATTACACACCACAACGGCACGAAAGGTGATCCACATCAGTGTGTGATCTCAGTGGCACCCAGAGGCACACACCAATTGGTCCCACAAATTAATCATAATTAGTGACTTGATGATTGTCTTCCATCAAAGTGAAGTGCCGGCAAGAAAGTACCGACAGAAAGAAATCCATTGGAAAAAAGTAGTGAAAGAATGAGAATCACTTGAAGCGTGCATCCGCACTCCATGCAGTCCATTCTACATCTTCAAATGTCTCTTCATCCCTCCACATAGCAGCTCGAATTGTTACCGAAAAGTCATGGCCAATTTCTCGGGTTAAAATTGATTTCAACTTTTGAAAAAAGTCGAATGGCAGTGAAAAGAAAAAAAAATAGAGAACACTCATGGATGTATCATTATTACTTCAACTGCTATTATATTTGATGCTTCGTCCTTCGACTTGTCCTGTCGTTGGGGAATCTTCAAGGCCGTTGGAGGGTGTAAAATGGCGCGCTGAGTTTGCGATCAATTCGAGCGATGACGAGTTATCTCTCGAGTTCCCTTTCGATTGTACAAGCCAACTTGTGGACAGACGGAACCCGGTAGCCAGTTTTTGCTCGTGTGGTGACGAGCCACTGGACATGAAGGATTGAAGAACTGAGGGAGAGGATGAAGAACATGAACCATTGAAGAAGAAGAAGAAGAAGGCGCTGTTTAGTTCCGCGCGCCACCTGTTACCTCCTTGATGTCTCCTCCTGTGTAATGTCGGTGATGGCATTGCCAGAAAAGGCTTATTTGGTTCTTCCCAATTCGCTTTTTCTTCAATTCTCCGGAATTCTTCAATCGCTGCATTAAATATAACTCTGGAAAATGGACGAATCAGTAGGAATAATCACTCAACCTCAGCTAATTTACATAACAAAACCCAATGGCAATGTGAATTGTTGTCAATTTTATTTGTAATTGAGAGAGCAGTAACACAAGTGATCGTTCAATCATTTTGTCCCGCCATTGTGACTAGCCAATTTGTGTGGTGGGGCAATGTGTCGTTGAAATGCCAGCTGTAAATATGATTTTAATGAGTAACCCGTTGCCCTCCTCCTCCTCCTCACCCTCGTGGGATTCAACGCGAGCATCTATACACTACCAACACACACTCCAGTGTTCACATTACTGCACCTCTTCTCCTTCCTAGCTCTTTCTCTCCCTTGCACATTTTCCGCCACCCTCTGCGTCCTTTTGTATACACTTGCTGTTTCGTCCGTACACTCGGGTAATTGCCAGCCGCCTGGAATCAGTAATTCCACTGAAAATGTCCCATGTGTTTCCAGGAACATTATTATATGCGCTTGGTAATAAAGTGGAAAAGAGAAACATAGAATAAGAGAAAAATATGTACAGGTGGACATTAGCTAGTAGCTTACGAATGACACAGGAAGTGTTATTGGTTAATGCTGATGTGTAGAAAATGCAGTACACCAGAGAGATAGCAAACAAAAACAGTAGAAAACAAAAAAATGAAAGCGGCAAGTAAAAGCGCCCAACTACTCGTGAGACATACATTATGGTGGTAATAATGGAAAAGAATACCTTGTGTCAAATAGACCATCATCAAAGACACTAAAAAAATCTATAGTGTCTGAAATGAAGAGACCTTGTGTAAACGAGTCAATGGAAAATATCGAGAAACAGATAAAAAAATGAGCAGCGACAATATCTCGGTACCGGGATATATAATACTGGCTGGTAGGCATTATTCCCACCACCTCTCGATAGTCCTGAATACCGATGTCCCTCACTTGCCACAAACCTACTCTGCATGCACTCAAGTGAATATCTATACGATCACTGCCAACCCGCGTTGGTCATCCCTTTCCGTAGTAGATTGTCCCTCAGGAGTTTTTATAAAAGCCAACAAAGACACCCGCACCCCTCAGCGAACTCTTATCTCACTTTTCTCCTGATTTTCCTCATTTTTTTTATCTTTAGCCGTCCCTCAACCTCGTTTCACCACGTCTCGACGTCCGATTGGCTACTCCCACCCTCGATCAGCATCGTTGGTCAGTAATTATCATTATAGCGCGGTTGCGCACCAGCCCCTTCTCAACGTTGCAAACTAACTCGATAGTCAATGTCCTTTACCCTGGGATTGGCAACCCTCTCCCATAATTAACTTGTGTCTACGCGCTTGCGCAACTTCTCACATTGATGGGTCTCGTGTGTTTGTTTTTACCCAGGGGCTAGTCAGAGAAGTCAGTTGTATACAGATATAGCACTCCAATGGGACTGGGCTCTCCCCCATCTCCTTCAACAACGACAGCGTCTGTGGCCAGTAATTATAAGGGGCGTTACCCCATGTCCCCCTGAAAATCGTGGAGTTTGCGCCGTTTTAATTACTCATTAACCCGTTGGGGTGTTTTAACGTACACGCCCACAAACACCAACTGGGCTCCCTCCAATCCACGAGCTTTTCATTATTACTTTAGCAGGGGGGTTTATGTTTTCATTGGTGGAAATTCTCTCTCTCATCAGGCACTCAAACCCTCCTTGGAGCCACCTTCTCCCCCTGGGGACTGCCATTTTCATTTAATTGAATTTCACCTGGATGGAAATTCTGTGTCATTTGAACTTCTTGTATTTATTTACGCTTTTTTTTCCTCCTCCTCCTCCTCCTCCTCCTCCTCCTCCTCCCTCCCAGCGAGGAGAATAAATTGTTCTGGGGAAGCGGGGGCTTGGGGTGAATGTGTGACGAGCAGAACGAAATGCCAATGCGTCGATACTTGGAATAGAATTGGAGTGAACGAGGGAAAGGGGTGATGCATGTATGTAGCATTTCGGTTGGAAGCCAAAGGGGGGTGGCTGTTGGAGATGGAGAAACTCTCTGGTGTAACCATACAGCAGAGACGCGCATGTGTATCGATAAAAGGCGAGGCCAAGGCGACGAGAGACGCAAAGGAATGCATTCGTGTATATTTTATTTTTTTTGTGTATGACGAGGGGGCGGCCCAACCGATGTCTAGGAAAATCCTGTCGATAATATATGCACGTCACAATGGGTGGAATGGGGGGGGAGGGGTACCTTCAAAATGAAATTGCATGTAATGTTAGAGACAATAGAGCGAAACCGTTTGGACAATCAGGCTGGATTTTTGTTATTTATTTATTTTTTTATTTTTTTATCAGAGCATGTGGATGGATACAGGGGTTTCGTAAATTCTGAAAATGTCGACTTGCGGAAAATACTGGGGCGTTTAAAAAAAAGGAATGTGCAACCACTCCGGATATGAGAGCTCTGTGTAAGCGCTCACATTGTGGTTGAATTCTAGCATCGTTTACTCCACACGTGATGGAGAGAGGAAATTGTCGTGCAAACTTGTCTGACTCTGCATGTGAATTTTATTCTGTTGAATCTGAAGCATTTCAATGTTAAAAAAAAAGCTTCATATTTCTGTGAAAATTTAGTATTCTAATCGTCCTTGGAATTTATCAATCTAATATCCACTTAAATTAATCCAAATTTGTTTATTTGAAGAGCCAAAAAATCTATGAAAAATCCCCACCTCGTTATTCCAATGGCATAGAGAGAAAGAGAGAGAGAGAAAAAAAAAGAGATCCAAACGCGTAATCCCATTCTCAAAGATGCCATTATCGCCAAAGTTCTCGTGAAAGAATAAAAGGGGAAACAAGAGAAAACCCACGATTTTTGCCTAGAGCATACGTAAGGGGGCAGAATCTTTAATACGAGCATTCTCCAGGATTCCATCAATTCCCTCTCCCGCCTCTTCACTCTACTCCTCAGTCAATCTCCCTGTGGCATCCACCCCTTGCCCTTCATCCCCAATAAGTGATACGATGTGTGATCACGTTTGTGCTGGCTGTCCACATAGAGCGACATGGAGTACCCTCCATGTGTGTCTTTCCCTCTCTCTCTTTCTCTCTGCACACTCCAGGCAGCAAGACAAACTGTTAAAAATGAGAGGAGTCGAGAGGGAAGGAAAAGAGGGCGGAGTGATGATACGTGAGTGAGACAAAAAAAAAGAATGAAAAAAAAATGTACTAGTGTCTTTTAGTAAAGTGAGAGAGCGATTGAGGACTGGAGAAACGAGTAACAGAGAGAATGGTGAGAGGTAGGGGGTGGGGGGGGTGGGGGTGGTGGTGGTGGTGGTGGTGGTGGTGGTAAGATGGAGGTGGAATCGTAGACTGGCATAACGATCCCGTTTAAACTCCCCTACTCGTTTTCCTTAACCCTCTGTCATCCCCACTCTGTTTCGCTGTGATGCCTTGGCCAGTGGATTTGCAAACTCCGCGTGTATAATTGTCCAAGAGGTACCTACTCAGGCTTCCCCTACACTGCTCCCACCACCACACACGTGGAAGGAGTGGCTCACCACCTTCCCCTCCCCGCGACCACCAGGCCGGTGGTCCATCGGGCACGCCTGTCACACAGCATCCGAGCTCTTTTCTCCCACTACTCTTCCCCTCTCCTTTTTTCACTCATTGACGTTACTCGTGGCATTCCCCTCGTGGCATCACCTTCCCCACCCCCACTAGCCTCTTCACGAGACGAAACCCGGTGAGAAGCTAACGAGACGAGGTGGAAGGGGTAGTACTAAATAAAACCAGAATAACCATCACCACCACCACCACCACCACCACCACCACTGTGTACAACCCCTCACGACACCTGAGCTTCATCCACGAACAACTGCCGGATAAGTTACCCCTCTGGTCGTCTTGCGAGAGCAATTCTCACGTGGCATTTTTGAAAATGGAGTAGTGATTGTACTGTTTTTTGATGGACACGGTGGAAAGTTTTGAATAGATTTTTCAATCAACAATTTTTAGGAATATTCTAAAAAATTTTGTTCAATTATTCCATGAAAGTTTATCTAAATGAGGATAATTGAGATTAATATATTGTAAAATTATCATTAATTGAAAATTCAGGGTAATTTTCAGTCCTGAAAGTAATTTTCAGTTGTCGCGAAATTTATGTTGTGAATAATGCTAAGAAATTAAAAATTAATTTTACTGGTATCTCCTCAATTTTCAACATTTAGAAAGCTCTAAAAATTAAACAAATATATTATGTACAACAAATTGTTGCCATCATTACAAAAACGCATTTTATCATCTATTAAGACCAGATGAAAGAAGAGAGCAGCATTGTGTAATTGTTGAAACAAAACCACCACAACATTTAGGAAAAATGAAAAGGGATGTCTTGGCAGTACGTCACGGTGGAGTGACGATGCTCGAGTATAGAATATAGGGTGACTAGACGCATTCCTTAGGCATTGGCCTCGATCAGATCTTGTGTCACTCGGTTCATTAAGCCGGAGTAATAGCGTGCCCAGGTGTTCACCGGAGACCAATAACTCGGCCCTCCATCGCTTCTCTTTCCCTATTTATTTTTTATTTCCATTCCTCTTGCATATAAACCATCACGACGCTCGTTGCACTTGGCAGCACACGGGGTCAAATCAACTGGAACATTAGTAGGATCATAACTAAAATTAAGAGTTAGAACCCCCATTTCACATTCATTGATGCATTCTTTTTTTAATCTGCATGTAGGGAATTGCGACAAAACAAAAATGTGGCAAATGTTTATGTCATTTTCATATTCAATTCGATTATTCTTTCCGAGAAATTCCCAGGGATGAATAGCAATAAATAAATGGGAAATAAAATAAATAAAAAATAATAATACGAACAAGCACTCACTGGAAACATCATCAACCCAATTCACCTCCAAATATGCAAGAATAATCACAAGTGTGTTTTGCGCTTTTTTCAATATCCCTCATTGAATTTCTTTCTCTCCGCGCACCTTCCCGCGAAAAAAAACCCGTAAACACCCCCCTCCCCACAAATGCCCCGTGTTATTTGCAAACAATACCCACCCGCCAGTAAGCCCCTGAGGACCTGGCTTGAATTCTTTAGATGTCCACCAACGATACGCATCCATTAACATATAATTGCTATTATTAGGTAAACAATTCTCCCTCGATTTTCGTTCACCCGATTTCTCTGCTCCCTCTCGACTCTTTAACACTAAAAACTGAATAAAAATCCACGTGATTTTGCACACCACCGTGAGTTTAACTTTACGAGTGGTCCCGCAGCATCGAAAAAACGAGACGTGCGGTTGCCGAGTTTCGGCTGATGGAGGAGTGGAGGAGAGGAATCGTAGTATAGGGAGATTATACACGCGGTAGAAATACAAACTGAGGGATGAGTGGATGGCTGCCGGAATCTCCGTATGATCTTTCCTGCTTGTACTCGTGCGTTTGAAAATTCCGGGAGTGGTGGTATACATCCAGAAAAGATGGTTGAGAGAGAGAGAGAGAGAGAGAGAGAGAGAGAGAGCGAAAAAGAGCCAAAAAAAAGCAACGCGATAAGTATCGATTCGCCGCGGGTGCAAGGTTTAGGTGCCACTCGATAGTATCCTGTTACGCGTGAAAGACTCTTCGTTATGCGATACTCACGTATAATGATGCTACTGAGTAAAAACGAGCATAAAAAAGGGAAAACTCGGGGGTGAGAAAAGTTTGAGTGTTACTGGGAGGGAAGAGGGAAGTGCGGTGCCAGTGGAACGTGAGTGTAATCGCCAGACAGACCGCCGCCGCCCTTCCAACATTGCATGCAGACTCAGCGTCGTACGTGTTTTGATTTTCAAGAAAAATAAAAATTACGTGATGATGAGGGAAAAAAGAGTGTCTCTGTGCATAGATGATAGGAGTGGGTACACTTGAGCCGGGAAATTAGCCCGGACATGCCATTAAAACTCGGGATATTTAATTTAGTTACTCCTTTGATCTTCGGATTTTTTTTCTCGAGGGGTAGTTTTTTTTTAAGGTATTCGTTTGCCATCTGCATTATCCGATGAAAAGTTTATAAACGGGAAAAGGTAGATTTTTTCCAATAAAATTTCAAGATTCGAAGGCTTTTATTCAATTCTGTTCACAAATTGCGGTAAATATATTCTTCAAGCCCGTAATTATTGCACTGAAAGTTCAAGTAACTTGGCTAATTTTCATCTTTCTGTTGTTAAAAAATGTGTAATTTCATTCACAGTACGTAATTTCACTCGTCTGAAAAAAATTTCATTTAGTATTTATTTTCGGTAAACAGTTGACAACAACTCAAAGATTCAGTTTGAATTTTAAGAGGTTGGGAAATTTCACTCCAGAAATGGTAACAGCATTTCGACAAAACTCCGAAATCCCAATGTTCGTTGAAGGTATTATACGTGAAAGATCCCGAGCACCAAGATAGTGGCTCCTTGAAGGCACCCAGACCGCGTGCCGCCAGGTCGCCACCGCCACCGCCGCCGCCGCCGCTGCCTCACCAAATTAAAGGCTTGCTCTTAGTCGCCGTATACACTTTAAAAATGGTATATCGGTTTGGAAAAAAAAGGAAATGAATGTGGCCACATGCAGACAATGGCAAAGGAGCATCACAAGAAAGAAAGAGAGAAAGAGCAGAAGCGGTGAATTAATTGTCGCTCGCACGCCGCCGCCGCCAGGTACTAGCGCGATCCTTGAGTCTGATTTGTGGCCCGCACGTGTGTCGTCCTGGTCCCTCTCTTCTCACTCTCCACTATTATACTCTCCTTCCTAAAAACAAGGAGTAAAAAGGAATAAAAATCAAAGCGCAAATGTTAAATAAAGAAATGGAAATGGAGTTAAAAGGGAGCTTAAACAATGCCCTCCCTTCCCTGCTCTTATTTTCCTCAGCCTCGTTGATGGCCATCTTCTTATATTTCGATTCAATTCCCCCTTCTTATTGTTTTTTGTTTATTATTCAATGTGTGTTTGGAGCTGTGGGGAAGGGGGGGGGGTGCTCGTTAATTGATAGCACCGAGGTAAACGAAACACCCGAAAAGAAGAAAGAGAGAGTTGTAAGTCTTTCCCTCCGACATTTTATATATATATATATATATATATATATAGTCTCCGTCGTCCAAAAAGAGAGGAACTAAGCCCTTGGGCCTTATTTATATCAAAGGACTAAACTGAATTCACGATCAAAATACCCGCGTTCCACGGCATTGATGGATCACCCTGGTCCAAGTAACTTTTCTGTCCTATACCTGCTATCCAACTGGTATTGGTATTTTCAAATGAACCGCCTTTTTCCATTGGGAACACCCCTGCCAACATTGTCCACCCTTTTTGTAAATCCAAATACGAAAGAGGTTTGAATTGAAACGAATTCGAATGGACTCGGCAATCTTCAAATGAGAAAAAACATTTTGTATGTGTATTTGTTTTTCTCTGTATGAGGGCTTCCAGTATTAAAGTTTCATCCAGTAAATGCCCCAGTTTGATGTCATTTATGTCGATCAGTGATTTTTGAAGAAAGGGTGGACTGAGTTTAACGATTTAATTAAATTCCCTGACTTGTTCGATATTGGTATTCTGTTGTCAGTGATGGAATTATTCGAGTGGAAATTAAATGTGGGGAATAAAAAATCTTCAAGTTGAGCGAAAAAACATTTCAAGGATATTTCAGTTTATGAAATTTTTTGACAATTTTATTCAACATTAGGATAATGAGGATAATAATATTAAAAATTTTTGGCTAAAATTTTTAATACAATTCAAGTAAGTCGGGGCCAAGAATTCTTGTTTTTAGATTGACATTTCAATATCACTCCCCTGTATATTTACTAATCATCAACTGTCAATGAAATTTCAATTCTTTTAAACAATGTCCTAGCTTGCTCGTTTTGATCTTTCATTTAAAAGATCGAGAGATAAATTGAATTGATTGAGTGTTTTTGAAATTAGATCTCTCTTCCAATAAATAAAAAAATGTCAATAATTTTCATCACAATATCGGAATATTAATATGTACAGATTACTGGGACGTGGCTCGATGCATGTATTCTCATCAGAGCAGTTCCAACGTCTCATGGATGCCAGTGGTTTCTCAGGCGTTTGGCATTCTCTGATTGATCTCGGTGCTGGGGATGGTGCGACAACTGCACACGTTGCACAACTATTTGACAGAGTTTACGCCACTGACATATCCGCCCCAATGAGGTGGGCCCTTGCCAAAAGAAAATTTACGTAAGTAAATTTAGCAGCTATTGAAAATTATTCAGCGGATAACTTGAACGAATATAGGAAGAAAACACAACAAAACATTTGCATTTTTTATATTTTGATTTGCATTACCGCGGAACCCCATGTTTTACTGCACCCACTTACTCAATGGTCTTTTGATCTCTCCAGTGTTCTTGATGTCGATAAATGGGACAGGGCTGCTCCCTTCAACGTTATTCTATGTCTAAACCTTCTGGATCGTTGCGATCGTCCAAGTACTCTGCTGAGACAGCTGAGAGCAGCCCTCGCTCCAGGCGGTAGACTTGTGATAGCACTGGTGCTTCCGTTCAGTCCATATGTGGAGGTTGGTGAGCGTGGTGATCACAAACCATCCGAGTATCTGCCAATCAAGGGTACTGGCCTGGAGGGACAAATAGCTGGCCTAGTTGACCGGGTTTTTGGTCCAATTGGCCTAAAATGCTTGGCTTGGAGCAAATTGCCCTATTTGTGCGAGGGAGACATGGGTCAGGCGTATTATTTCCTTGATGATGTTGTCTTTGTTTTGGAGAGTCAAGAGGTAATAACTTTTTAATCATGTACAAAATTTTTTTTATAAATTACTACTTGATAATAAAAAAAATTGTCTTTTAATTATTTTTCCCCGCAGGAGGAGACATGTAAAAACGGTCTGCGAAGAGAGACAAACATGCAGCCTAAAGTATATTAAATTAATGGGATTGGCAATCAAAGAAACAGGCAAGTCACAGTTGTAAAAACTTTTTTAATAATCAATACGACGAATTAATTGTGCAGGAATATAGGAAGAGTAATACTGGCAAGCGACGGTAAATTGTTTTTTTTGCAGCAGCAGCAGCAGTGCAGACACGTCAGTAGCATTTTTTTTTCTTTTTGTGTACAATTATTATTAATAATTCGTTTTTAAGGACTGATTCAATACATTGTCAAGCCATCAAAGACTTAACGATCATTATTTCAATATATTCATTTAATGTTGTTTGATGATATGCTTGATCAGAAAAAGTTTCGATATTAATTTTAATTGTCTTCTTTAGTGTAGACAGTGATACGTTAATGGTCATTTCTTCTTTGATAGCGAGAGACAAAAACGACGGTATGCTTTTATTCGATATATATGAATATTATCTTTTGAGTTCCATCAAGATTTACGGCTTTTTGTTTTTTTTTTTGCTTTTTTCACATCTTTTTCTTCTTGATACACAGTAGTGGTGTAAACATCAACAGATAATTATAGAATACAGTCGAAGCATGAATTGATATCACCATTCGATATTCGAACATTGCAGCAGCTCAAATAATAACAATTTTTTCAATCTCCTAAAAAAACAACAATTCCGCAAAATAAAAACAATGAATATTTGTTTGTGTAATAAATACACAAAAATGTTTAACAAACTCACATACTCTCAATTTTCATTAAATTTTTTTAGAAAATTTCATCAGCCGAAACATTTATCCCTCAAAACATTCAATTTCCTTAGAATCTTATTCATAAATAATTATTTTTCCTCAAATGCTGCCATATTTGTATCATTGATTGATAATTGTCATGTGATACCAATGAAAAATAATGGATTTATAAGATGCTGGAAGAATAGTTAATTGATTAATTAGGTAATTTTTTTTTCATTGGCAACAGTTGACTTGACCTGCCTGTGGAGCTTAAAATTCACCTTTAAAAATCGACGAGTTTTCAAAAATTTCAAACATAGAACGTACAAATAAAACTTCAATATTCCATAACAAAAGATATATCTAGCCTTATTCGCTACGTAAATAAATAATATAATTTTTTTTAGCATAATTACGTGCCATCAGGTGGGGTCCGTCCATCCCCGGGGTGATACAGCCATTACTCGTAATATTTATTGACTTTTTTTTTATTCATTCATTTTTAATAATTTGTCATATCCAAAAGCACCAGTCAACCCCAGGTGAATTTTATTTCTCTAAAAATATATATATTACAAATACTGTAAAAGTTTGTATTTTTCAGTACATTGCCAGTAGCAAGGCAAGTAAGACCCCCTGATTGCACCAATAAGCACCACTGGCAGGAGTTTTTCATAAAAAATCAGAAATGAAAAGAAAAATCAAAGAAATACTAAAGTATCAGTATTTGGTAAATGACGAGTCGATTTCAAATCTAGATAGAATTTGTTTTTCATCTTTTTTACTACCCACTTTTATCACAGTCCACGCATGACTCATTTTTAACCGCCCACAATCACCGAAATTTCCTAAACGCCATCACTCTTGAGCAAAACAGTCTGGTCCTTATAAAAATGTTTTTTCCAATCCACTTTAAATGACTCCAATATGACTAGAGAATGAATGAATATGAAATTGTAGTAAAACGCTCAGTCCATCTTTCGAGGTTCACACAAGTCTTCCAAACCACTGGCTTTTCTGAAAGATCAATATAAATTCAATGATTTTTTATTCAATGATAAATATTTCAAACACTTTCTTTTTATTCTTTCACTTACAAACTAGGTGGAAGATATGTAGGCCCAGAATGATCTAATCTGTGTTTATCCTCATTTTTCCAGCTGGATACAGGAATATGTGGAGGTGGAAGAAAGCTCCTCAACGACTGCACCAACTGAATTGTGTCCACCAATGCTAAATGGATAATAAAGGCATTTTCAATCCAACTATATATCTACGGGTAAAATTAGCACTGAACTATTGTCGTCCAAGGTCAAGCCAAGTTGATTCATTAAATTTTTATATCTCTCGATGAAGAGATACCGTTATGTACTTATTTAATTAACACAACACATATAAATTTAATAATTAATCCTTTATGTTGAAGAATAATTTCATTAACAGACTGATTTATCTTGAGATATATGTATACAACAGCTTTTGTGTCGACTTTAAAACTTTAAAACCAAAATCGTGTATTCACGTGTGTTTGATGATATAATAAAATTGAGTCATATTCATCTGTTTATTATGACATGTTAAAGAAAAAAAAAAATGTATATCTACAAAGATATCAACACGAGTAATGAAAAATCAAGTGTAATTACTTTTTTGCAAAGCCTCCGATTGTTTTCCATAGGGTTTACACATAGCAGGGCGTACACAAGCCTTCATTCTCGCCATGTTTTTCATAACTTCAGCGAAAGCTCGAACAATTTTTCCCCCACCATCTGAAAGCAAGTGGGAATAAGCAACAAGCGTATGCGTATCAATAGAAAACATTAATTTTATTGAGATGTTGTTGGAAACAAAACAAAAAAAATCCTTACTGTCGGCATTTGTGGCTGCTGAACGAGCCCCTTTCTCCTCAATGGTCCAGGCACCATTGTGAAGTGCTAGAAGATCTTTATTGGCATTCGTGAGTCCTTGCAGATTCCCGAGCCCAAGTCCACTGAGTCCCTCTAGATTATCTAAATTAGATCTTAAGAAATCCGTGAGCTTGTGATCGGGGATTTGAGTATTAATCATCGACTCATAATGCTGTTTTCCAATGGATTTCTTCTCCTGGGAGGAGGGTCGATGGGGAATATTTAATGACGGACGACTGGGTGGACGTTGCAGATTCATCTGATTCCCACCACTTCGAATCTCTGAGATATCAGATGAGGATCCCCCCATGTGACTAGCATTTGCATTACTTAAAGCTTGAAAGTCATTATTATGAGGAAAACGCAGCATCGATGCAGCAGCAGCAGCAGCAGCAGCAGCCGCTTCGTTGTCCTGAATGTACGTTGGTGCCATGTGTCCCATTTTCTGGGTCAATTCCAGCTGGTTCTTGTAACGGCAAGCTGGATTGGGACAATTCTGTACCACCTCAATGATGAACTCCTTCTCCATCCCAAAACATTCACGACCAATTGTGTAGGACTCCATAACTGCTCGCACTGTGCTCTCCAGACCCAGATGAAGGCCATGAGGGCCGTTCATGTGCTTCAGCATCACTGCATTGGCAAAGTGCTCGTAGGGGAGAATGATCTTTCCATTTTCACGAAGAACTAGTCTGCCTTGGGCATCTAGAGCGACTCTCGATGCCATCATTCTTCAATAATTAATTAAGATAATTCCATCATCAACAAAATATTATTGCTAAAAAACAGCAATTTCACAATGTAAAAACAATGAATATTTGTGTAATAAATGGACAGGAATCATTCAACAAACTCTCGGACTTGTTCAATTTTCCTAAAAATTTTCACAAATTTCATCAGACGAAATATCCATCCCTCAATTTTCTTAGAATGTTGTTCAAAAAGGATTGCTTTTCCTTAAAAAAAATTATGGATTTATAATATGATTAATTACTTTTTTTTTTTCAAACCATTTCAAAAATGAAACATTTAAGAAAAAAAAAAAATTAGCAATTCCAGGTAAGTTTCATTTCTCTAAAAACGTATAGCAATAAGGCAGATATATCACTGGTATGAGGTTTTCGTCGAAAATCGGTAAAAAATGTAAAGATATAAAATATCAATATTTTATCACTGACAGACCGTTCAAAGAACCCTTTGAATTATTGAAAAATCACAATTCCATAAACATACTTTCATGGATAAAATTAATCCTGTAATCTTACTGGAGATAAGCAGCACTTGGCAGCATAGACGCCTCCTTCAACTCGGTAAAGCACTGCAACAATTCAATACTCGGATTCCAGCCCTTATTCTGCAAATAAAGCCGCAACAGTGAATACATTGTCTCCGTGACATATCCAGCCCCACTGGCGGATCCAGCATAACCCGAGCCTCCTCCTGGTGGACCCATCTCCGTTTGCATTCCTTTAGCAACAATGTTTTTCATACTTTCGGCCAGGTCCATCCTGAAGCATAAACCGCCCCTATTAATTGATCCATCCCTCGATAATATTTCACAATTGAGTGCTTTTTCATGATAAACTCAGGTGATAAAAGTGACAAAGAAGTTTCCAGCTGAAAAATTGAAGGTTCTGATAATCACCATGTTGCATATGCACTGCATCAACGGATTATCATTTTCTCTATTCTCTCCATTTTTTAATTTATAACAATTGAATTTCTTCGATTCAACTTTAAAAAAAAATTGAGAATTTCATTTTTTCCGGTACTTTAACATTTGCATTCCACCTCGGCCATTGTTGTTTTGCGGGAATGGCGATTTGTATATCGCTGATGAAAAAAAGAAAAACACTAAAAAAATATATTTAAAAAAATGAGCCACCGCCCCCTTCAAAAATGATTGAGATGAAAGAGAGGGAGGTAAAATGTAAATGTTTTTACTCACCCCGTTCGTCTCCCCCACACTTATCATTGACAATTTTTCCGGGGGAGTGAAAAAATCCCCCCGGAAGTCCTTGCCGGCGACTTCAAATCCCTAAAAACCTCACTTGACGTCTCAAAGAGCCTCCTATTTTTTCCATTTTGCAAATAGCATAAATCGCGATAATTATTTCCGTATTGAATGATTCCCACGATTGCCGACAGGGGCGCGAGTAGGCCGCACCTCTTTTTGCTCGCATCTATATATCCTATATACATACATCGTATTATTGTTGTTATTATTTGCATTACCACCTCCAAACCAGATCCGATCAATTAGCCCCTCATGTATAGATATTCCAAATTTTTATTTTTTTCCTCATTGAAGTAGTTTTGAAGAAAATTGCGAGCTAATAAAAAACATTTGCTAGTTCGTACTTTTTTTAAAATAAATTTTTGAAAAATCACCCCCGAAAAAAAAGGCGTTATCCCCCCTATTTCATTATTTCCAAAAAATTTTATCACCAATCGGTAGCAAATTGTTTGAAGATTTTTGATCTCCCAAGCCCACGTATTTTAGTGCAACTGGGCGATCCTAATGCCACCTATAAATGATGAAAAATATGGCAGTGGATCTGTTTATCTACATCAGTTGGTAAAGAATCCACACGTTCTGGTCCACATATGGAACAACTTCTAACCTCCAAAAACACTGCACTGTGTATTATTTTATCAATTATTATATTATTATAAACAGTTAACAGTAATGTAAAATTAAAACATTAGCAAAATGTTAACAACAAAAACGTTCTTTAGAAAGACTAAAAGTGGAAACATCTTCAAGATCTCGAGAGACCATTACCTCAGGGATGATATCTGGTGTGGTTCAGAGGCCTGTGAGGTCTGCAAAGCCAAGTCCTCAGGAAAACTTCTTGATGAGAATAGCCCAGGGGCCAAAAGTACTTTAATCCAAGGTCCATACTACCTTCTCCTGGACACAAACATTGTCCTGGACCAGATCCACATCCTCGAGGAGCAAGTGCTGTGCAACGTGGTGATTCTCCAGACAGTCCTGGAGGAGGTGAAGCACCGAAGCTCAAACGTTTACAAATCGCTCGCCGACATAATCACCAATCCAAATCGGAAATTTTACGTTTTTGTCAATGAGCATCGAAGGGAGACTTATGTGGAACGAGTCAAAGGGGAGACTGCTAATGATAGAAACGACAGAGCGATCAGGGAGGCCACCAAGTGGTACAACAATCACTTGTTCCACCAGGACACTTCCAAGGGGATCAAGACGATTTTGTTAACAGATGACAATGATAATAAGAAGAAAGCCCTGAAGGAGGGGATTTTAGCTCTAACGATGGAGGAGTACGTGGCATCGCTGGAGAATGGCATCACTGAAGGAGTGAGTCTACTCGACAAATTGAATAAACGTAATTATATTCTCGAGGGGGGCAGAGGGGGAGGGGAGGCTCTGTTTCCCTGTCATCTGGCTCCCGCTGAGATCCACGCAGGCATCAGCAGCGGAAAGCTCCTCCAGGGCTCATTCTTTGCTTCGAGGGAGAATTTCCTGGAGGGAAGTGTGAACGTAGATGGGATGGATAAGTTTGTTCTGGTTCAAGGGAGAGTTGGATTAAATAGAGCAGTTGATGGGGACATTGTTGCTCTGGAGTTGCTACCAAAAGACGAGTGGACTGTACCTAGTGATATAGTACTCCAGGATGAGGATGAAGAGGACCCTGGAGATGTGCTGGAGGAGGAGAAGGAAATTGTACAAAAGCCAACGAAGGAAGTTGAACGCACACCAACTGGCAAGATAGTTGGCATCATTCGAAGAAAATGGCGACAGTACTGTGGTATATTGCAGCCAAATGCAATCAAGGAGGTATAAAAATAATAATAATAATAATAATAATAATTCAGTGTGTCATTGAAATTAATTTTATCGAGACACCATTATTGTTTGATTATTAATTTTCCAATTAACGTGATTTTATAGTGGATACTATTGTTATTCTTGCGTTACATTTGATGGTGAGAAATACAACTTGCCTATCCAAGTAAAAAAAAAAAAACCTTTCGATAAAATAAATTTTTGTTCCATCAGTGTAGGATGGATGGTTTTAATAAGATTATGGGCCCTTTGGTACAGAATGTTAGACATCTCTTTGTTCCTGCTGAGAGGAAGATCCCAAAGGTGAGAATTGAGACGAGACAGGCGGAGAATCTTTACAAGCAGAGGATCATCGTTGCTATAGACTCATGGCCGAGGACTTCGAGGTACCCACTGGGGCATTTTGTCAGGGCTCTTGGCAACGTTGGCGATAAAGAGACCGAGAATGAGGTGCTTCTCCTGGAGCACGATGTACCACACTCTAGATTCTCGGATGAGGTTCTCAGTTTTCTTCCTAAACTACCGTGGGTCATCACAGAGTCGGTACGAAAGGTTTTATTTATTTTTTGTCACAGGTCAAAGGTCCAACTCTTCATCTATCGATTCAATTCTAGAAATTATTGTTGTTACTATTCTCCGGGATTTGATGCAAATGTTTGTGGAGGCGTGGAGGTAATTAATAACCTGATGGAGTCGTCGTTAATTAGAGAGGGAAGATTGCAACTTGTGTAATTGGTCATGGCCCATGTGGGAAGGGGAGGCAGTGGAATTTTTGATATTTCAGTTGTTGATGAATTGCTCTCATTTTTTTTTATGGAACTGCATTTTCCCTTGGGAAATTTTCTAAGATTTGTCAGTTTTCTCGCTGCCAAGACGTTGAGATTATCAAGTGCCAACTGTTTACTCTGTTGAGCCAATTGAATTAATTTCATTTTCTCATAGCTTTGATTTTGTTTTGGTAAACAAGGATTGTAATGGTCTTACCATTACATCTGACAAAAATTGCTCCAGGACTTCTGGTTTGCGAGTACTTTTAATTTTTTCCCAGTGGATGAACATTGCTTTGTCGAAGAGAGAAACCACAGTCTCCATTTCACGAATTTCTTTTATAAAAAGGTGTCACATAAATAAATACATTAAAAAATAATGAAAATTGAAAGTAGTCAGGGGAATATTACCACAATCTTTTAATTTCTTGAGAGCTTTTTTCAAGGAAATTTTCTCTTTGTTGAAGAGAATCTTTTGCTGATTTTGCTGCTGAATACTTAAATTTACACTTTTTATTTCTCTCAGTAGACTGTGAAGCTCTAGTATATTGTTTTCCAAACGTGCTTCAAGAATTCTATCCAAAAATAAAGGATCATTCATTGAAACGAAAGATAGTAGAGAGAAAGACTGAAATTTGATACTTACCCTGGATAATCGTATAAAAAGTACTCTATGTTAGTTGAGCTTTTCAGATAATTTATCACCCGCTCTAATTCATCACAAATTCCTGGAAGATCTGTCAATGAGAATTTTCTCATCAAAGTATTGTCTCCTTTGGTTATTAAATAATTAAGACTAGAGCTCATTTCAACTTGTTTATTATCATTTTTTTTAATAGCCAAAGACATTATTCCAAAGAGTATTCGTTGCACAAACTTGAAGAATTTACAAACATTGATATATAAATTGTTCATATCACGCCATAGTAACTAAACAAAAGATGGAGCTAATCAAATGAAAACAATTGTTAATTGTTAATTGTTTTGACAGGATGTTGCTCAAAGGGAGGATTTACGTGACATTGATGTGTGCTCGGTTGATCCCCCGGGATGCACAGACATTGACGATGCTCTCCACTGCAGATATTTACTAAATGGTAATATTGAAGTTGGTGTGCATATAGCAGATGTATCTCACTTTATTCGACCTGGTACTGCATTGGACAAAGAAGCCGCTTCCAGAGCAACTACTGTTTATCTTGTTGATAAGAGAATTGACATGGTACCAGGTAAAAAGTGAAAAATAAAAAATAATAAATAAATTGAAAGAAAAAAAAACAAGACATTTATTTTGATATTATTTGTAGAATTGCTCAGTTCAAACTTATGCTCTCTCCGTGGCAATGAAGAGAGATTAGCATTTTCCTGTATCTGGGAGATGGACCACGACGCCAACATCATCAATACTCGTTTTTGTAAATCAATAATTCGTTCTCGCGCTGCAATGACGTACGAAGAGGCTCAATTGAAAATCGATGATCCCAACCAGAATGACGTAATAGCCAAGTCTCTGAGGGGTCTTAATACTCTAGCAAAGAAGTTGAAGAAAAGACGACTTGAAAACGGGTAAATTTTAATTGCTCCTCCCCCGTACCACTGACCACACTTTTTTAATTAACTCCTCATAAGATGTACGATATAAATCTTTCTCACTCTCTTTCTCTCTCATAAATTGACAGGGCACTTGTATTAGCGTCTCCCGAGATACGTTTCCAAGTGGATAGTGAGACACACGATCCGATTGATGTTGAGGCGAAGAAAATGAGAGAAACAAATTCCATGGTTGAGGAATTTATGTTGCTGGCGAATATCTCAGTGGCAAAGAAGATTTTGGACGAATTTCCGGAGTGTGCAATGCTTCGAAGACATCCAGAGCCTCCACAATCCAACTTTGAGCCCTTGGTGAAGGCTGGAAAGCACCAGGGCTTCGAGATAAACACTTTATCTGGAAAGGAACTGGCAAAATCACTCGAGTCAGCTCACAAAGAGGACAATCCTTACTTCAATACAATGCTAAAGATTCTGGCAACTCGATGCATGATGCAGGCAGTTTATTTCATCAGTGGAATGCACCAACCAGCTGAATTCTTCCACTATGGTTTGGCCTGTCCAATCTACACCCACTTCACCTCTCCCATCAGGAGATACGCCGACATAATTGTTCACAGACTCCTCGCTGTTTGCGTGGGTGCTGACGCCACATATCCAGAGCTCCTCGATAAGAAGAAGAGCCATGCACTTTGTCATAATTTGAATTACAGAAATAGAATGGCACAGTACGCTGGAAGAGCTTCTGTTGCTCTTAATACCCACCTGTTTTTCAGGGAAAAGGTGGAGACTCAGGCTGGCTATATCCTGTTTGTGCGAAAGAATGCACTGCAGATACTCATTCCTAAGTATGGCTTGGAGGGAATACTCTATTTGAATAAGAAAGGACAAGTTTCAACAGTTAATTTTGTGTATAATGATGAGGAGCACACTCAAACTTGTGGGGATGTTGTGTTGAAAAGTTTTGATCCTGTGGAGGTGCAGCTGAGTCTTGATAGATCTAATGTGCAACATGAAAAACTTGTCTTCAAATTGGTAAAACCTGAGGTTTGTTAATTGCATTATTTTCTTCTTTTTCTTTTTAATGCTCACTTTGATGATATTATTGAATATTAAAATATATTTCTTGTACAGATTCCAGGTTTCAGTGTTACTTCAACAAAACCTGAGCTAGCACCAGCCTCTGATGTCGAAATGCCAGAGGTATCAAAGCGCAAAATTACCGAGCCTGATGACGCAGAAAGGCCAGGACCAATCAAGAAGAAAGGACGAAAAAAGAAAAAGAACAGAAATTGATCGATATATTCATTCAATTATTAACAGTGAACAGTGAAAATTTCATTTCTAACACATTGTCTATCATACTGTTGGTACATGCCCGAGGGTAATAAAAAAACCTTTTTGTACAGATAGATAGTTATTATTAATTCATTATTGTGATTATTTTGTAGCTTTTTCTCTCTCTCTCTCTCTCTCTCTCTCTCGGAATTGATCTTCTCTATTAACATGAAATTCTATTTTCAATTAATTATCGTAAATTTGTCCGGAGTTAGCGTATCCTAATTTTTGGAGAACTCTCTTAATATCGATATAAACAGTGGGATCTTCAATTGTACTAGGCATCTGAAAACATAAGAAAACAAATTTTCAGTTCCACTTTGAGAAATTTGGACTTTTGGTGCTGATTGTATTTACAAATTTTAACTCCTGAACGGGAGGAATTTACATATCCGGCTTGTTCATTGAATATTTATCAACTAGGGACGAGGATGTTTCATCCAATTATTCCCCCCACTATATTTTTCAGTGTCTGCTTAGTAGTAATCATAGGGGTCAAACAATGATGAAATTTGAAATTTCCCTTAAAATTAAATGGAATTTCAACATTGTTTTTTCAAGTAGTAGAGATTTCCTGATACCGACGTCGTGGGCTAGACGCAATTCTAGTGTGCGAAAGGTTGTAAGTTGGATTCCCCGTGGAACCGAATATTTCAACGGATGGCTCCGGCNGGGGGGGGGGGGGGGGGGGGGGCTGACACATTCCGGTTTTGGACACGTTCTAGGGAAAATGATGACAGTATGAAAGGAGGCACGAGAAATGTCGAAATAAAAATTTTTTTTCTTCACCCGGGGCCAAAGTGCCCCGAAAAAAAACCCACTTTTATGACTCTCGACCGCGCCAAATCGGCAATAGATTTCCGAATAATTTTTCCAGACCGAGTCCGGGGAAGTCCCTTGACAGCTCCAGCCAATTTGAAAGATGCTATGGGTCCGATCAATTGTCGCACTCGACTTACGAGCTCTTGGCTGATCTCCTTTTCATTCTTCATTGCCTCTGAAAAATTATTGGCTCATTATTCGATTCATTACCTGGAGTTGATAATTATTAAACTTATCGGAATGACAAACCATTCTTCATGACGTATAGACACAGGGGAACTTCTCCCTTTGTGTGCTCAGGAACTCCAACAACAGCGGCATCCACAACATCGGGATGTCCGAGAGCCACATCTTCAAGCGCAGAGGTCGAGATTCTATGACCCGCAACATTGATTACATCGTCGTCCCTCGCTGTTACATACACATACCCATATTCATCGATATATCCAGCGTCCATTGTATCGTAATACCCCTGTTGAATTTCAATTGGAGACATTTAACATTAAATTGATAATGAGACGTATGAAAAATTGGCATTTGAAAATTCTATTGACGTATCGATTAATTTTTGACCTATTCTAAAAATGATAGACTGACTGAAAATGTTCCTGTACAATTTATTCTTGTTTTCATTTTTTTAATGGAAGGAGTAGAATAGACGAATAATCAAGTGAATTCCTATTGACTTTTCTTTTTTTTTTCTTGCTGTAAAATAAGAAAAGGCGCAGTAAAATTGCAAAATTCTTCAATATAATAATCAGCCAAGATTTTTTTCATATGGAATCAATTTTTATGACATTTAAATATGTGAGAAAGTTGAATGCAAGTATTACTGGATATTTGGAGAAATAAATATCCTTGAATCTGTCTGCCGCCCTGTAAAGAGTAGACATTGTTCCAGGAGGGAGTGGTAGCTTGACGGCGATTCTACCGAGTTCACGAGGCGAAGCTAAACTCCCATCTTCCCTGAGAATTTGAACTGTAAGAAAGAGTGAAGAGAATAATAAGTTGGTATAAGCTGAAAGATAAAAAATTCCTCTCATCGCTATTCCTAAAGTAATTTAATCCGCCATTTTTCGTTAACAGAAGAGCCCGTCCCAAGCAGGAGAAAAAAAAAACTTTTTAATAATTATGAATGATTATTTAACCACCTTTTTTCAGTTGAAAATTTCAAGTATATGGACTAAGCATTGATTAAATTTTCATACCCCCTACTGGCCACTAACCATCGTATCCGGGAAAAGGCATTCCTGTGGTATACAGAGGTGGTTTTACATTTTGTCCAAGACCGAGACAAGTGGCGGTTATAGCGTGACCTGTTTCTGTTTGCCACCAGTGATTTAATATTGGTACTTTGAACACCTTTTCTGCCCAAGCTTTCGATTCGTAGTCGCAGTGCTCACCGGCAACGAAAATCGCCTTCAAACTATGGAAAAATGCCCTAATTACATAATAAAATTCTTGAAATAATATTACATTAGCTACTTTTTTTATTTTTACATTTTGAAAGTCTAAATTTGATTCTTGCAATTTTTTTCAATTTTTCTCGTCTTTTGGAGTAAAACTTGTAAAATATTTTATTGATTATTTTCATTTTTTCATAATCATTATTTTACGAAAAATCCATTTCATGTGAAAACAAAGTGACAAGTACTTGGATATTCTTAATTCAATCAAGATAGCCATTACGTTTTCGTTGAATATTTCATCCCCAATTTCGTATCTGGATCTGACCTTCGAAGAACTCTAAATACACTGGGTACAGTGAATAATGCATTGACTCCATGCTGTTCAATTACTCTGCCAAGAATAAAGGAAATAATTGATAAATAAGGTACTAATTAAGGGTATACCGCAGTGAAATTTCAAAGTCTTTGTTGGCGTGAGGAATGTATTATTGTATGTGATTTTTGAGCAAATCTAGACTGCAATAGATGTTAAACATGTTCCATGTAAACATTCCAATAGATTTTTTATTTTACCAATTTTGTGACTTTGAAATTTCACCGAGGTCTCTGCTCAATGAATCTTATTGAAAGACATAGGGGAATCCCAAGAGTAGACAAACCTAAAATACTGTCCAGCATCAGGTGTTCTGTCAGGTTTACCCTCAAACATGACACTAGTAGCGCCATAAAGAAGAGGAGCGTAACAGATATACGATAATCCAACCACCCAACCGAGATCAGAAGCCGCCCACCAGATAGAGTTTTTATCCATTCCATAGAGGATCTTCATGGTCCAACAGAGTGTAGCAATGTGCCCACCAACAGGTCTCTGAACCCCCTTGGGCTTATCTACGATTATTTTCAATTTGTCGGCTGCTGGAGAGAAAAGTTAAAAAGAGAAAAAAAATAAGTGTGGCAATACTGTACCGGTTGTTCCGGATGTGTAGAGTAAATAGAGGGGTTCGTTCGCCTCAATTGGAATACACGGATGTGGCTCAGATCTGTTCAACAACTCCTCGAAATCCTCCTGGCCATTTGATAATGGCGCCTCCCACACGTTTCTCCGTTGAAACACTATGCATTTTGGCTTTTCTACTGATATTAGCTCTAATGCTTCGTCAATCATTTTTGTATATCTGAAAATTTCGTTAAAAAATGACCTTTTAATACCACTCTATTCCATGCTATTAACTATTCAGTGGATTTAACGAAAAGCTGATCTTTTTGTTTTTACTTGATAATTTTCGTAGGCTCCAATCCACAACTTGCAGCAATGAGAACTTTGGGTTCGGCATGATCAATCCTCGTTGCCAACTCCCTCGGGGCGAAACCTTGGAGTATTGAAACATTTATTTATACAGTTGATAGTGAAAATAGAAGAATATACGTAATCGATCAGGAGTGTCTACTCATTATTCAATTCACACGTTGAGGGGTGGGTCCATCAGGGGCCGAGTAAGAGCCCGTTAGCATACTGATAAGAAAACCTCTTTTATCTTTGTTGGGCTCTGTTGGTACAGGGCGATGTAACGAAGCACTTTGAGCTATTATTCAATTTTTCAAGACGTTAAGAATTTACGTGACTCTGAATGTTAAATTTACGCCGATAATTTCCGACAAGTAGATATAAATAAAATGAGAGACTTGAATTGGCAAGACACACGTGCATACATAAATTTTCAATGGTTTCATATATCGATAGAAAAAATACACTGACTACAAAGAAAAATAACATTGAAAACAAATAAATAATTACTCACCGCCAAAAACAACCGAGTGGACCGCCCCAAGCCTTGCAGTCGCAAGAACAGCGATAATAGTTTCAGGAATCAGTGGCATGTAAATAAGCACACGATCGCCTTTTCTCACTCCCATATCAGCCAAAGCGCCTGCAAGTCTCGAAGTTTTTTCCAAAAGTTCGTCGTATGTCACTTTACGATTTGTCGAGGTCATGGGGCTGTCATGTATGAGTGCTGTTTTCTTGCCATTTCCAGCTTTCACATGGCGATCAATTGCATTGTGACAAGCATTTATTTCACCACCCACATACCTGATGACAAGTAACCCCGCAGACAATTGTTGGTAGATAAAAGCAAATTCGTTCAGTGAAAAAATATCATGGAAAACAAAAGTTAATTATTCCTTCCTTTCATGTGTTTGGGTTGAGGAATAATTAAGTAAATGTTGAGAGGACTCATTACCACTTTGTGAAGGGCGCATTTGAATTGTCGAGAACTTTGTTCCAAGGCTTGCTCCATTCAACGCATTGAGCTATATCAGCCCAGAATTCCTCCGGAAACTCGATTGATTTTTTAAATGTATCTTCGTACATTTTATTGTAATATGGATTCTTCGTTAGTATGAAATCTGTAATAAATTGTAGGGCATTGAATAACCAACATTATTTCATAAAGAAAAATGACTTTTCTTCCATCCTAATTATTTGTTCATGAATATGCAGTGGCTACTGCTGGAAACTATGAATGGGATAATTAGATTGAAATGAACATCCACTGCCATTCTACCATCATAATATTTCATATTATATTATTTTCGTGTTCGGGTGATTAACACTGAAAAAAAAAAAAAGAAAAAAAAACACTAAATCATCCATGCGTGCGAGTTATTATTTTTCCCCTAGGCGAAAAAAACAACTATTTTTCTTAAGGAGATATAGAATATCCCATAATTTTTGTGTATATCAGGGTAGCTGCTACTTTTTCACTCGTATCGTCACGTACCCTGCTCATTTCGGTGGTGATCATTATTCGTGGTATGTTGACCCCTCTTCTTACCCACTAGTAAATAACACCCACGTGTTGCCATTGCGTTCGAGGATAGAGGGTGAATTACAACCGTCAATGTTAATACTGTGTACGCAGTCTACATGCTAATTTTTTTACAATCTCCCGTAGATTGTACGCAAAATATAACGAGGAATACTCTGACTGAAACCGCCCCCGATATTCATTCTATTCTCTTGTCTCCACTCACGTCTTCTGCTAAGGGTGACTCTATCCTCGATAACGGTTTCATAATCACAAAATTGTGTGAGAAAAATTTACAAGAGATATATTATTGAATCAGCTGATTTCAGGAAAATATTCAATGAAATCGATTGAAATATATAGTTGTCAATAAAACTGGAAATTATTAAAACTCGGAATTTTTCATTTTTTGAAAGTTTCACTTAGATTTAATTTTTTTTAACACTAAACTGACATCTCTTTTCCATTTTCCTTTCAATTCCCGCAATTGATTTTAATAATCTTCAGTGTGGTGTGGTTATTGAAATTTTTTTTTACAGCGCCTAAAAACAAAATATTCACCACTCTCATCGCCCATTCTGTTTTTCCTCGTTTTTCCGAAACATGGTCCCAGTGTTTTCTCTTCATCCTTCACCTTGGGATCAAGAAAATCTGCGTCCACTGACGAGAGCATATTGTCGGATAATGAGAATTATTATTCTTATTATAACGCCGTCGAGTCGACGAGGTTCAGTCCATGCACTGAAATTTCTGCAGAGAAAAAAGACAATTCCACTTTAATTGCACAATCCGTGAAATTATTTCAACCACAATATTTACAAGAATATCACTGTTCAATGTTGATTCTATCATTTCTATTGATCACTACCACTAGGAGTTGGGCCAAGTTTTTCACCATTTCGAAAAAAAAATCCAAGATGAAAGGGAATCAAGTTTTTAATGAATGTTAGAAATTAATCCATCAAATTCTAAGCAATAGTTTCTTAATATCCTCGTCACGTCTGGAATGGATATGGGCGGCAGTATTCAATCGACGCAACGGTGCTACTTCTATTATACATAGCCCACCATTTAGGGGCATCCAGAAATATAAATTATCAATTACAAACGTTGGACATTAATTTTTGTTTACGATTTATCGGACAATTAGGATTAAAAATTGACAAAAATACCCCAAGATTTCACATATGAAAAAATTTTATTAGACAGAGAATTATTATCTATTGAGATATTTTTTGTAGTAATTCCTCGGCTCAACTTTCCTTTTATATTTTTCTAGTTTGATTTTTCTATTGTTGAAAAAGAAAAATTGAGTTACGAAGACAAAAATTCAGTCTTTGCCTTGTATTTCAGATAAAAATTGCTGAAAGACAATTTTTTTCTTCGATCACCTAGATTGCACAGTAATTTTTCTCTCGTGTAGAAAAATCCACTGGAACGTCACTGATCACCCAATATCCTTTATCTCGATATTTGCTCTTCCATCCTTAAACTTTCTACTCGTACTTGTTAGAGAGGTGGCGAAACTAGTCAAACTTGGACACTATGTTGGCACGTTTGTAACTCAATTTTATCCTTTCCCCAGGACAAACTGGTCCAACTTTGTATTCCCCTTTGCGAAGTGAAAAAGAAAAAACAAAAATAAGAATTAAAAAAAAAATTGGCTTCACTTTCCTTATCGACAAGTGTACACTATTTCTTTTTAAACCCGAATTTTCATGTCCTGGCACTCCCGAATGTACTCATACACAACATTGAGTGGAGAGAAACAATCATGGACAACAATCAAGTAGGTTTGACTATAGGACTATCCAACTTGTCACCGACTGTGTTGGCTCACTTTTTTTATTCATTTTTAACATATTCGTGGAGTCAACACTAGTGAAGAGATATCACGTGATACTTACGATTTCCGGGATGACCCCGGAGACCAGTCAGGGTTGGGATTATTTCAATGGTCACTGAATTGATTACTTGGTGCAGTGGGGATGTGACAGACTTGTGGTACAGTTGTTGAAAATTTTTATCACGTGATGGGTCAACTGAAATTTTTAGAAATTTTCTTTTTGAAATTCACAACAATTTCATTTGTGATGAAGAAAACAGTAGAAACTCTAGTTGTACAACCTATTACTATATTATTAGGGATTTTTATATTGAAATAAAATTGGTGATCGATAGATTCTTGATAATAACAGATTATTAGGGCCCTAAAAATCAGTGACATGTCTTGAATTTTCATCAAGTAAATGTACGATTAAAATTTACAATTTTACGAAGGAATCAATAGAAATTGTACGCAGAGAAAAAAGAAAATATTGAATTTTCATGGAATAATTGATCTAAAATTTGCACTTTTCATAGTTTTTCCCATTAAATTTGGTATTTTCAGTGGAAATGTACATTTACAAGTTTATTTTCGCCTCCGTACAATGGAAATTAGCAAATAAAAGTAAAATATACGTTTCATAGTAATTCAGGGGCTGCAGAATGCAATAGACTAGATCAGATCAGACCAGATCAGACCAGACCAGACTAGACCAGACAACTTTGTCACTAACAAGTCCAAGAGCCACTCTTGAAATACACAAAGCTACGCACGTCCAACACGTATACATCGGTGTCGAACGGTGACGATGTGGGAAATGAGAGAATCCAGAAATGTGGTGAGAAAAATGTAACATAGGGGAACTTGAACTGGATTCAAGGACGGAAATGATTAAAAAAATGTTCAAAATTGGTTGAACGACATCAACAAGACCGATCGTTATATGTTTTCATTGAATTATGAGTTCAGTTCTTAGTTGAGTTTTCGCAAAATATCTCCGAATCTCATTAGAGAATGCAGAAGACGAAATTTTCATGAATTTCCTATTCTACCTTATCCGCAGACAATGTGTGAAGTAAATAAATTGATGTGATTGACCAAGACGGCACGACGCATATAATAATAACGGCAGGTTTAAGGCAATTTTGGCCACAGTTGACATTCGCGGAAGAATAGTCTTATCGACGCGCTCCGATTATGTTGACGTTGAAAGTTGCCGCATAATAATATTTAGGCGGATTTGGATATTCGGCCAGTTCAATGGTTAATTAATAAGTGTATTAAACTCATTGTAATGACTAACATTACAACCACCTGATGCCACCAGGGTGTAACACGTCCCATTGCAGAATATTCTGTTTCATGAGCTCGCTGATGGCTGACAGTCAGATTTCATGGAACAAAGCCGATGAAAATATCATGTGAGCTGGTGGGACTTCCGTGATAGGATAACAATCCGATCCCTTGTGCAATTTTCTTTGGTTGTGTATACGAGTTGTTGTGTGGTATAATGAAACAGACATTTATAAACGTTTGGATTTCTATTCTCTTCATGAATTGTCTGATTTTTACTCAACATTCGTGGGGCATTTGTAACGGGGAGTTTTGTTCTACTGTCCTACTGCCGTGAAAAAAAAAAGTCAATTCACTAATTTCACGAATATTCATTTTCACTGAATAATTTTCTCACAAAATTGTGATTTTTAAATTAAAGAAAAAATTTTCTGACATTTATTTTGAAATTTTGATTGAAATCGAATAAAGAAAAAAGTAAAGAAGGGTAAATAAGACCAATTGTCAGAGGAGAGCTAAAGATTCAGCACAAAGACAGCCTACATATGTGACAGAGTCTGACTGGAAGACGGAATACTGTTTCGCGGAAAAAAAAAAAAAGTGTAGCAATCGAGTTGTCTGGTGGGTGGAAATACGTGTGCCTCGCATTTGAATGACTATAGGCCGGGTGGAAAAAAACAGATCTTTTGAAACAATACCAAAATACCCTGATTCCCCTTCATGGGTGGATAACTCAATCAATTATTAAGCTAGAATAATATATTAAAATATTAAAATTAATTTTGCGTAAAAATGTAAAAATGTAGAAATTCATTGAAACATTCCAGGAATTGAAGAAGAAAACTCCAATAATATGAAGGAAAATAAGAGCGTATGGACATACGTAGGGAAAAACACATAGAATACAAGGGAATTTTCACAGCTGAGTGAAATTATTTCGTTGGAAGAGCATAAAAATTTAATTGCCGTGTTACAATACATTTGCGTAGGTGCTGTAGCCCTCAGACCGGGTTAAATTAACAATGTTAAAGTGAACAAATGAAAAAGAGGGAAGGTACCATGGATGTGAGAGCGGTGACAGACCGTGGGGGTGGGTCAGCATCACTTGCCTCATCTCGGTCACTGCGACGCAGGATTTATTTAACTTGACTAAGCGAGTGACAAATTGCTCCACCTCCTGTACTCAGTTTTCCATGAATGGGTTGGCGAACCAGTAAATAAAACTCATTTACTCCCGGTATTGCGTAATACTTGGATAAACCTATTTCTCTCTGAAAAGGCAAAATAAAAAATTTTTTTCTTCACACATTTCTAATGATGAAGAAATAAAAACTCGGACATGAAATATGAACAACTAGGAAAGCCAAAAAGCCATTGCAATTAATAAACTCCAGCATTGTCAAATAGGTTTGAAAATCTCCCTCATTAGCAACTGCTGAACGAGAGCCCAGCCCGGCCACGATTCTACATTGAATCCAAAACTATGGAAAAAGTGTCTATTGAGTTGTTTGCCAACGAAAGTGCACGTATAATGGATCTTCGATGGGTGGCTTTGCTATCGTTTTTAATAAAGCTTCGTTATCTTACCGCCCAGCAATATTTTCCGTGTACATGACATGCTCGCAAAGTAGAGGGAGAAGTTGAAAAAATTATTTATCGTTTCAAGTCCAACGTGGGGGGAATATATTTTATATTAGTACATCCAGAGCTCAGGTGTGAAATATGATAGGAAATCATAAAAAACGTATCAGAACAGGGGGAGCTAGATGTTTTTTAATGTATTTCTTGTGTAGGTTGAGGCATTTCATTTCCATCAGTGTAAACTAAATTTTACTGGCGAACTCTACAAACAGACGCAGTATAGTGTGGATTTATTGCACCCAAAACTCAATCATTTAAAAGCGCAGGTGTCCTGCTTTTCGCACTGGGTTAAAAATTCACCTTTTTAATGTTTTCCCCTGAATGTTGGGTATTATTATTATCATTATCATTATTCTTTTCCATATCTATTGTGCAATAGCTTTTATTTCACGCTCCTCTCTAATCCCCATTTTTCAAAGTATTCTATGTGTATCTCGGGAAAATGCAGAACCCGTGCAATAATTAGCCTTTAATGACAATAGGCGAAAGTGTCAAAGATGAAGCAACAGAAATTCAATAAATTGCCAATTTACAGCTTGTAACGAGCGTTTGTGAACACGTGGATGTGTTTTTGCGAGCTTCTGAATAATCTGAGCACGTGAATTGCAACGTTCGCTATTTGCGCTGGGTTCAATGATATAATTATGTTTATTACGTTGTAGGGCTATGACATAGGTAATTTACATGGAGAGAAACTTGGTTAAAATTTTTTTTCTTCTTTTAGGAATTTCTGTTAGCACTATAGTGGAAAAAATATTGATATATGAATAGATATTGCAATTTGCTAATTTTCTACTAAAGTCGAAATTTCTCTCTCCTCTCTCACAATCTCATTGTGAAATATTGCATCATATGTTGTATATATTGTAAAATGCCATGCATTCTCACTCTCGGTAAATTCCACTAAACCACATTAGAAATGATAATACACGTGATCTTTACCGTAAAAAGCTATAAAAATTCCAGATTGAAATGACTTTAAAGCGGGGGGAGGGAATAGTTATGCATCAGTACCCCCCCATATACCGCAATTGTATGTATGGCGCCCCTTGGAAGCGCGCATGGCAACGCGGTGGTGAGTATTTAAGGGCTGAATAGTTGTCGTCTCTCACCACTGTATCGTCAACGTCAGGTCCTGGAACACCGCGCAAAATAATTTAAGGGGGAGAGTCATCGAAAATATCTTGACGAACAGATAAATTTCAAGCTTCACTTAACGATATTTCAAGGATAATCAGCGCGCACGCTGTCATTTATTTCGCAAGATCGACAAGAAGGAAAATCTACATCTGCAGGTTAGTAAAGTGATTATGCTTAAAATATATGCCAAATTTTCTCTGTTATCAAGTGATGAATGTCTTCTATTTCACATAATGATAAAATTATTTGTACCTTATAAATTTTTGGTATGATGAGTTTCTTCAAGTTTGGTGCTTGTGAAGTTAAGGAATTAGATCTTAAAGTCGATGGAAGTCGTAAATCCTAGTGAACGAATAAATTAGCGCATCGATTAAATACAAGTTGTATAGATTACCTGAAACACCAAAAACACCATTCGATTTCCATTTGAAATGAATAGCGCGCTAGAGTTGGCAACAAGTTGCGCCATCCTGCTGTGAAGTTTTCGATTCAGTCCTGAGTTTCGTGAGGAATAAGTCTCGTACAGAGTGGTAAATTATTACACGGAGAGAAAAGTTGGAAAATTTGACTATACGAAAGACAATCGTGGAGCAAAATGTTTTATTTCAATCACGAATTTAGTGTTTGCTTTTCCTAAGCAATTATCACAGAATAATGCAAGGCATTTGTAGGATTTCAAGCACTTGAAGAGTAATTGATTCCCATACGCGTTTTTAGAGCTTCATAATAATAATTCGTAATTGAATGTCGGAATTTCGTTAAACTTTGCCCTTTTTCGTTTCTCTGTTATCCCAACACCCCGGGCTAATTACTTAATTACTACGACAACTAATGAGCATGGCAATGAGACTCTTGTATATTACAAAGTTCCTGATTATATCAGTGATCAGTGCGATAATTAATAGTACAAACGGACGCTAGACAAGCGAATAATCCGACATTTCCAACTGTCATAAATTGAAGTATTATTTACCAGAGTTTCCACCCCTAGGATATTCATGATTGATCTCCGTAAAAAAAATGAGATCAAATATCAGTGACATGATACTATTGTCAAACGCGAAATCCCCGCGAAAAAAAACCTCAATTCCTCCCACATTTTTTTAAAATAAAAAAAATACCTGAGAAAAGAGATTGAAAGAGGACTTTCATTTGCTCAACGAGCGCAACGAAGCTCAATGCAATTATAAATTCATCAAGAAGATAAATCAAAAATTCATTTAACTCTGAGAATCAGATTTAGAGACGTAACTCGGAGCAGCAAGATAGGAATTAGATAGAAGATGATTTTTTAATTATCCTAAACAATGAGATGGAAGTGTACAATGGAGATAATTGGACAGTCGATATTTGTAGAATATCTTTACTTTTGCAATTTTCAAGTCTATTGCTACAATAAATATTATTGAATATTTTGAAAATTCCGGTTATTATTGTTGTCAAGAGTTGGAGTTTTGATAAGTTGATTAGACAAAAATGATTTATTGAGATTCCATTGAATGACAATTTTGACAACTAGACTAGAACCAGGGAATTGATATTGAAGTTTATTACAGAATGAATTAAAAACTATTTTATTCAATTGAATAGCTGCTGATTTCTCAGCTTGATCATGATACAAATTGATAGAATATTCTTTAAAAAGTAACGAATTCTATCCTTCAGACTAGACTCTTAGAAAACAAGCAGGGGACAGTGATAGAAAATTTCCAATAAGTGTACTGCAAATTTTGCCAAAAATTGTTAAAACGGAATCTAGAAACCGGAATCCGATTGCTTTCTCCCTCTAAGAAATTTCATGAATTACTTAATGTCAAAAAATATTTAACATTGCATCTATAGTGCTGCCTCCCCCCCAGAGAATTAATAACAAGACAAGATAAAAAAAAAGAAAACCAAGAAATACCTTGAGAAGCTTAAATTTTCCATGGTTAATATGGCAAAGTCTCTCGACATATAAATATTAAAGGGGACAGCGGAGAAAAATACAAGATTTTATGTGTGCAAGAGAGTCTTTACATGAAGTAAAGACGTTGGGGATGAGTCGAGTTGGTAGAGCCCATGAACCAGCGATACGATACATTATTCCAGGCATGCTGGAAGACACCGGGAGTTATATGATGAACAAAAATTGAGTCTTACGCTCGTCATCTTATCAACATGTTACGTTGGCCTCCAGCCTCCGATGCATCCTCCGAGACATCATTATGCCGTCAGTTCCTTGAAGTTTATCTGCCACACGACACGATTGATCGTATGATACCTCACAGACTAGAAGATGACATTCAGAATTGTTTTCCAAGGTTTCTGATAATGCTTTGCCCTCTCGGCATCTTTTCTCTCTATTTTCAAACAAACAAGCAGAGCATCGATTCTATCTATTGACAATGTACGAGAAAACACTCCAGTTTTTTATGTATGAGTATATCTCCATGTTCCGGGAACGAAACGAATGGGCGTCATTATTTTTCATATTTATTATTATATTTTTTGCAGGTCTTTTCCGTTTGCTCATTCGACTTTATGAATGAAACAGTGCTTTGAATATGGCTGAAAATTGAAGGGTTTTATATATTCTTCAATTTTTTCATGCATTGAAAATCGATAGATTGTTAAATATTAATGTTTCATTTGAAAATTGGGAATTCTATTGAATTCACAGAGATATTTGAAATTTCACGTTCCCCCTTCCTCCTAGCGGTCGTTCAATCGAATTAACAGTGGAAAATGAATTGCCTTTATTTTTAAATAATTTTTTGTAAGCGAGTCTTCTTATGTCATTTTGATATATCCCGATTTAAATGGTGGTATCAAAGTGGCTTGAAATTGAAAGGTTTTATCATTCACATCTGTCGAAATATCCGTATAAATGGATATGGTAATTTCTATTTTCATGGAAAACAAAAGGTTTTATTTGAGAGTTGCCATCATTCTGCGGCTTTTATGAGAGAAAAATATTTCAAGCACGTTTGGAAAATGGAAATTGTCCCGGTGTATTTTCGGTAATCGATATTCAATCTTAGCCCAAGGGCCAATGAAAATTTCATGGATCCAATCATAAAGCTATCGCGGCGTTTATTACCAATTTACTTTGAAAGCCACCAGGGTTTTCGTTTTAAAAGAGTAATTACATTTACGCAAACTTGGTAACAGGCAATTATTGGGCATTTTGTTGTTGGTAATTGGTGCAATGGATGAATACAAAGTTTAGAATTGAATAAAAGTGAGGATCGAGGGGATGAACAAGTATTGCCGAGAGTTTCTTAATCGCAGTCGCCGAGAACGAGGTGGTAACTTGAGAGGAAGGTGAGGATTCTATGGGAGAGGAGTCACATACGAAAAAAAATTCATAGGAAGCCTAATAAATTTCATCGAATTTCCATTCAACTTCCTCTCTTATCTGTTTTTGGCCGTTACTATTGCAGCCAAATATTGCAGCTTATCCGTGTGTTTTTGTTCGATAGAAATGCTCAATAGAAAAAATCAATAAATATTTTCTCGAAAAATTTATCAATTCAAATTTGCCAAGTTTTTCTATTTGATTCTTTTAATGAAGAAACAGAGTGGAAAAAAATAAGTTCAAATTGCTAATAGGTTTTTCTATGAAATTTTTTTCAACATACGTGCTGAAGCAAGACAAATGGATAACCATCATCTCATGTTGTCGGACTGTCATGAGGATAAGGGAAATTGCGAAATTGCAGATTGCAATGGTCCCGATGGGGAATTACACTGATATTTCCTCATACGTGGCAAGACAGAGTGAAAATTTTCACCCTCGGGAGCGAGGCGGTATTGTTCTATTATAGATGTTTCTGCAGCAGTCTTCATTTCATCTACAATTGGCCAAAAGTAAATGTATTGAAATGAAGGAGAAAAAGACAAACGCGCTCAACAACAAATACAGATAATACATATATCGGAAATATTTCTCTTGATGGTTTTTTGGGGTGAAGTAAAAATTGTTCTCTTCATATTTATCAATTTAGTTGTCTATGAATATTATGAAAATATATCGAGGTGGTAATGCAGTAAAAATGAATAAAGCGCGAGCGGACAATTTTTTCGCAGTTGAGCGAACGCTTGGGTGAAGTTGAAGGGCGGATTGATGAAAGAGTCTGAAGAGTGTTGGAAGATTCATCTCCTTCTTAATATGATTAAGTATAATAATCTCCGACTTGCTAGAATAGAAGCGAGTTGAACAAATTTGACCAAAATCACAGTGTTTAAATCAAACATTAATAATCACAGTATTTTCACTGAATAATGGAACTAAAATTTAAAATGTCCATGAGTTTTATCATCAAATTGCAATTTTTTCGTGCAATTGTTTTGGAGAAAAAAAAAAAAAATGATAAAATATACTGGGGCATTTTGCAGTGGAAAAACCTTAGTTTCGTCATACACATTATGATTTATGAGGAGCATTGTAACATTATCTACAGCATTTAATAATTTTGTCGCACAATAAAATGTTTCCGTGAACCATGGCAAATTGACGTACGACGTCATTCATTCTTATTCGTCAACTTTCTGACTTATCTATTAGTTTGAAACATTTATCAGTTCCTTTGACTTGACTTTATACATGGATTATATCTTGAGATGAGTTCTTTATCATTTCGAGATAATCCACAAGTTGTTTGCCTTCTCAACAACTTGACTCCTTATCCCTGGTAATGATTACACAGTATGTCTTGACGGTTTTTCTCAACAAGAGTTGGGAATTTAATCCCCCGCTACAATAGGGGTGTGAGTTGATGAATTTCTTGGGGTAAACGTGATCAAGTTGATATTAATACACAACACGGTTGGCGGGAAATTTATTGGCTATACCTCTATGCAGTATACGAATAATTGGATTCGGATGATGCATTTGATAATAACTCGCACTACCTCTAGATGCAATTTAATCAATCAATTAATCAATCAGCACATGAAGAGCAGTTTAGTTATATGCAAATAGTTAACCAACAGTCAACATTTATACTCCTTTGAATTTCAATTGGAATACGGATTGGTTGTTGTTTTCACACCAACGGAAAACCAATTCCAATAAAAGATAAAATCAGAATGACTTTACACGTTTTTCGTGGATTTTCATTTGATGAGACTCCCCGCTGGTTGAAATAATAATGTCAAGGGAATGCGGGTCACTGCATCTATTCTAATTTTTCTGGAAATCATGCCATATGGATTATACTAAAATCATTGACTTTTATGTTTTATACAGATAAATTCTTTCATCTTCATTATATTCATGTTTATAAGGTCCAGTAAATAATTTTTTTTTTATAATTTGAGTGAATGAATCGCTTTATCTTTGTTATATTTATATTTTTCAATCGAATTAAAAAATTATCTACTGTTTTTAATAACAGTTTAAAAAGGAAAATGAAAAAGCTAAATTATTAGAATTGGTTGGTAACTATGGATAGGGAAAGAAAATTCGTGGATTGTGTGAGGGTAGAAAAAATGAATTATTCAGATGATTCTGTCTTCCATATCATACAAGTGCACAGCGTACACAGCATAACAAATAATCCTTTTCATATAACATAAGAGCCCCCAGAGGCCTAGTCAGTGGAGCGCATTTGTGTATGTTGAGGGAGTTGATGATAAGCGAGGGCAACAGGTTGCTCATGGAATTCACTCACCGGAAAGTGAAGTGATCAAATGATGGAACACCAAAAATTCGAATTTCAGTTGAAATCATATTTCTTTATGTAGTTTTTTTCAATAGAAAGCTGGAGACCAAATTTCTCTTTTCTTTTTGTTTTTGGACGGAAGTTGAATTCTTCCGTCTTGTTTTTTAGTAGCATATTTATTGAAATAAAAAGATGAAAAGATATAATATAGTATAGTTTGTTGTTATGCATATAACGCTTCTCGATTTTTTTTTCAATATAAGATAGTTCAACTTATACTAAGGGGTTACACAATTATGGCCAGACAAATGAATGCGACGATCTTGATGATTTGTTAACATGACATCAAAACAAAAAAAATCATTCTGTAATTAGATTATTTTTTTTTACTCGTAAATAAGAAAGACCGAAAGACTTGAAAACCGCCCAGCAAGCTGAGCGATGAAAAAATTTCCCAATCAGAGGGTGAGCTCTAGTGCATAATGATTTATTATAAAAGGTAACACAGCGTATCTTGAATTATTATTCCTATAAAAATCATTTTATTTATTCAAATTATTAATACTTAAGTTTTCAGTATTATCTTGAACAAATTAAACTGATCGAAGGGTGAAAAGTGACTCTGATTCATGACCTTTAACTTCAATTGCCTTCGCACATTTCAAATGGAATCTTGCGGCAATTTTTGCAACTACTGCAGCCGGCAAGATTATCGAGTTGGCCGTAATTCTAATGCCAACGGCGGCGATGTGATTGCCGTCGTATTGACGGGTATGGAGACGGATACGGAGAATCATTCACCCGGACGTCCTCATACGTTCTCATCCCCCTCAGGCGTTAAGTGTAATGCAGATCTGAGATGGCTACTCGACTCACTCTCCCAGTCATTTCCGTCTTCATGCTGAATGTAGTAGTACAACAGTTTGCTCTTTATTTTGTTTTTGAAATTCTAAAATATTTATCAATTAATTTAAGACTTTTTCTCATTTTCAACATTCGCCGAAGAAATTATGATAATGATAATGGAATGCAAAGACACATTCAAAAGGATATTTAAGTATTATTATTCAAATTGAAAGTTGAACACATTGAGAAAAGGCGCACGTAACTATCAATTTGATTTCAATAAACTTGCAACGATAATGATATTACCAAGAAGATTTAGGAGATGTTGAAAAAAAGGGTGTCCAGTAATATAAAACTTTTCTAATAAAGTTAGACCATGCCCACAACTCGTGTTTGCTGAATCCCTTGTCGCTTTCCCATGGTCAAACTAGCACAGTTTGTTATTGATAAAATCCACACATACAATCAAATAAACTGAAGGAGTCATGTAATATCGAGGACCGGAGAATAAATCATCGTTATTGATGTCGGTCAAACTCACTTGCCGATGAAAACTTATTGGACATAGGGAGATATATATATATATATATATATATATATATATATATATATATATATATTCATAGCGTCAAGTAAGTCAGGTGGATTTTACGGGGGCAATGATTAGGTACACGCAGCAATATCCCGACGGAACCCTCGCGAGCTTCCGGTCTGATCGCGAGCGTCCGTTCCCCTGGCATCCGCCAATCGATCTCTTGACTTTTCCAGCCTTTCTTATAAACGATATTTCAATATAGTTTGTTCAACGCTTCGATGATCACGTGCAGAAAGGAATGTAATCATTCATCAATGAAACAGGAGTAAGAATAAAGAAAAATTATATATTGGAGACAAAAAAATGCCCGGAATTTTCAAGCAACATCTTCATGCAAATGAATAAAATTCCATTTGAATTACAAATAGTGAAATGGCCACGTAAAACAGTAAATACTATTTTATTTGTCATTGCTCTGCAAATTTGTCTGACAAATGAATTGTTGTCTTCATTGATGAAGAAAAATTCTAGAAATGATTAAGAGTTTAAAAAAAAAAAATCAAATTGAATTAACAGAGACGGATGATCCGACATTGGATTTGATTAGATTCTATTTGACTCCACAGAGTGCCGCAAATACGAACAGTGGGTGATATCACACCTAACATGAATTTATTCGCTACAGCTAATGGCCGTTGCAAGTGGTCGTACATCACGCGTGTTTACCTTCCTTCCCCTCGAGAAGAAGGCTTCACTCTTTCAACAATAACAACTAACTATTGCCTCCACTAAATCGTTTAAATCGAGTCAACAGCCCACGTGACGAGAATTGTAATGGGGTAGTAGTGGTGCGGGAAGCATTTTGATACTGATGTAATTGACTACGTGTCTCTGGCACGGCCGTCCTCTCATTATTTTCCCCCTACGGTTATGGGCAATTTTCGGGAAATTAATTGTTCTTTATCACTTACCGGAGATGAGATGAGATATTCTATTAATTTTTTATTTTTCCATTTCGCGTGGCGGGATTTATTTATGATGATAGAATCCACGTGAAGTGGCATTGATCATTAATTCGAATTTATTCGAAATTGTTGGCTGGGTTAAAGTTAAATTAAAATGTTTGGTTCGTGAAATTAAATATTGAGGCAGAGTACATAATTAGGTGTCTGTAAGCTTTGACACCTCGCAATCAATGACATTGTTTGTAATAAAATTAAATAAGGACAAATAAATTGTCTGCTTTTCGATTGCGGAATGGAAAAAAATGAAATTACTAAATGTATGATTTTTTCTTTTTTGTTTCATCCCCATAGAGAAATGAAGTGCAACACTTGTCTCTTAATGACCCTAACTATCACAATCTTGGTCATTCTCTCCCCGGAGATATACGGCATGCCACCCGCCCAATGCAGTCCCGGTCTGTTGGACGAGGTACCGCCGAGGATTCGTAAAGTTTGTGTCGCCTTATCCACCATTTATGAGCTCGGCTCAGCCATGGAAAACTACATTGACGATAAAGGTAACCATCTGATAACACGATAGTGGATTCCATGTTGCGTAGGTTGGGGAGAAGGGTTAAAGGTAAAGTTGAGATTTTGCGGGAACAAACTTTGCGCCAGTGATAGTGGGCAAGTTTCATTCCAGCCACGAGTTTGACGTTTCTAGATGAATTGAGGATAATTGGGGATGAGAGCAAGGGTGGCGGGCTCTAGGAGATCATCGATTGCTTCATATGCTCGTTAAACTCTCTCGTCTGAGTAGTTTGAGATGATATTAAATAGTTTGTTCTTATGAAATTCATTTCAAAATTATCAATAAAAAAAAAAATAATAATTTTCTACAACTTTTTTTTCTTGAAAATACAACGGAACAAATGAAAATTTATTGAATTTTAATGATAGAAAGGATTAGTTATTATTAACCAATGCATTTGGTTGGAGACTAGGGTGTATTCGCTCCCACCAAATGTCCATTCGTTAATAGTTATCGAATCTCGTTTGGAATAAATGAATCATTCTATCAGTGAGGGATTCCCTCCCCTCCCCTGCCCCTCTCCACTGTCACCAAAACGAATCCATGAATTATTGTTCACGTGTGAAAATTACTTTGTGGAATAATTCCCAAGGACAGAATATGATGTACAAACATTCACAAAATTACATATCACTGAGATAACCGCATTTTTCTCTCCACCAGTTCCTGTTATCCACGAGAACATACCGCTACCAGACAGTGGAGTGAAGCGTCAGGACGTGGACCACGTATTTCTCCGTTTCGGCAGACGACGCTAAGTTAACAGGGATCGCGTAGCTTTAACCGAGATGTCAAGATGAAATTTAAAAAAAAAGTACTACATGGAGAAGAATTTGAGATATTTCAAGAAATAAGATTCTTTCAGCTTTTTATTTTTTTATTTAGATTATTTGTAGATAGAATATTCATGTATTACTTGTCAATTTTGATGCCTCGGTTACACGTGAAACCAGAGGAAATGAAGTCTAAAAAGAAACAATGTAATAAACAATTTTCATTCCAACTCCATGACTGCTAGAATTAATTTTTAAATTTCTCATTTATTGATTTTCATGAATTTTTATCGTTGATGCTTAAAATTCTTTTACGAAAGTTATAGTAATAATTGAAAAATTGACAAATTAAATTATTTAACGAGACGCTACAGATGTTACCTAAATTAAGTAATAAATATACTGAAAGCTACTTGACGTTGATAACACTGAAAATCCAATCCACTGTTCATTGCTAAAAATTCAACTAAAATAACAATAATAATAATAATAAGGCAAAAAAAAAAAAAACCATCACTTACTGGTGTTAAATAACTAAATGCATTTATCCAGTGGCCGTGAAGAAAATAACGCCGATTCTGTTCGTCAGTCGAGTCATGGCTGTATTTAATTACCTCGTCATTGAGAATAATCGAATGCAAAAATCCGCGCACGAAAAAATTTCATACAAGAACCTAGCTGGAATAATTCTGCTTCTTGCCTGCGCGATTTTTAAATAGAAAATATCAAATAAAAACTATTTTATAGAAAAAAATATCTGTAGAATTCCATTTGTTTTTACTAATTTTTCAATTGAGACATTTTTTATAACAATTCCTTGTCACCAATTTTTTTTTCCACTCTTCATCAGATAAAAAAAAAACTTGCAGAGGAATTTCTATAAAAAAATTCTCAACAGAATAAGCTGTACAGAAAAATCAAATTCAGATGATTTTTGTGTGTAGAAAAACACCATTTCCTATTGAACATTTCTATAAAAAAAAGAAGCGTCAAAAAAAATAATAGAAAGTTCAATAGAATTTTATAGCAAATTTTATTTGTACGTGTAACCGCAATTGCTAATTGTGCATTGGAACAGCCATCCACCACTATTCACTGTGCAATCAGAAGAACTGAGAGAGGTCACAGATTGATTTCTTCTTTCAATGTTATTCATTTAACTGCTTTATCAGAACAATATTAAGTATCCGTCGTAGGCCATCAGTGAGTCGATTACAAATTAATTGAGCCTATTTTCGAATCTCTCATCGTCTGACCCTCGGTCTCAATGAATTACACGCCTCTTTAAGATTGAAATGGATTGACAAATATCCAAGGAAAAAAAAGTAACATCATTCATCGGAGAAAGATTGAGCGATTGCTATCGACAAAAATTGACTGTATGCATGACTCGATAATATCGAATAATTATATATTTATTGTATGATATATGTATATAAATTATGTATCAAAATTATCCATCAATTTTATTCGTAAGAGTGCAAAACTCCCCGATAATAAAGTTTCATTCGCAGACTAATTAAATCGATGCCATTTAATTAGAATTTAATCAATTGTTACCGCGAAACAGACGAGGCACTCGTCGCTTTGTTCGTCAAAGCATCTCCCTGGGCGTTCTGGAGAAGAGAAAACAACTCATTCCGCGAATTTGATCTACTTGACATGCAGATGTTGCACAGGGATTCGTCTCAAGTTCTACAAAACTCCACTATTGTGTAGGGGAAATTATCAATGCCGAGGAGTGTCAGAATGTTTACTGGAAACCCACATAACTCAATCGCTTTTATCGCTAGAACACGTGTTTCGCATGATATCCTTGATTTAGGGAGCCTGAGAGAGTAATTATATGTACAGTATTCGCAGGAGAGTGATAAAACTTTGATTAGTGTTAACTGATTTATTATTCTTCCAACCGCCTGCATTTATATTTTCAACTAAAAAAAAGAACAATAACAAATGAAATACTAAATTTCTGTTAATTTTCAGCTATATAAATCAGAACAAAGATAAAAAAATCTTTACAATCCATATGTATTGAAATTTTATTTGTCCGAGAGAGGAAAAGCGGTGTCTGTACCGGCAAGCGGCAAAAAAAAATCCATTATTTATTACCGGAGAATTTTTTCTCTGCGCCAATTGTCGAATGAAAGTCAACTATACAAAGTACTGAGCGATATTACCTGGTCTCCTGGTCTTGGATTTTCGATAATTTAGCCAATTCAAGGAGTAATCGAGGATTTATCATTGAAGAATGTAATAATAAGATGAAGAGTAGATGGAGACTGGAGAAAATAGTCTGTTTTATTCAGATAATTTAGGGTTTTGGATGCAAATAACGTTATTATTCCGTTGTTGAGCAGTACATGCACCTCTTGCCCTAGTAATTACCGTACAGAAAAAAGACGTTAATTTTGTTTCTACTCGTAAAAAATAATCCATAGTAATGGGCTGAAAGTTTTAGCTGCGATGTGGGAGATTTTTTTTTGCATGGAAATTAAATGTCAAAACTTTGGAAAAAAAATAAAAAAGAAAAGAAAAAACAAAAAAAAAAGATTTATTGTGTCATAATAATTTCTACGAGCAATCATTCATGAGAATATTCTTCACGTTAGCAGCAGTATATTTCTAGTATATTCTCCCAATGGAAACGTAAAAACTTGCCTCATCTGCAGCAACTCCTGAATTTACAGACGGCTATTTCTATTCATTGCACTTGATGCTTCATGTGCACGTTGCATCCCACGCAGCTGGAGAAATTGTGCTCCTCCATGTCCATCATGGATAGGGGAATCGGCCAGGGTGGGTGACAAGTTCGTGATGAGGTTACTGATAACTGATACTGTTGGTTACGTGTGTTTTATATCTATCCTGTTTGAGATGCAAACAGCAGACTAGGATAAAACTAGTAAATATAACAGTGGAGTAATTGTCCATGGTGACAGTATCAAGAGAAAGTATCAATTGTGGAGTGATCAAGTTGTCGCAGTGAGACAGCTTTTAATGGTATTTCGAATAGGTAATGAACACTCGGAGATAATCCCAATGACACAAACAACATAATTTTCACGTGATTTCCTGGGGGAGTAGGGAGTACACATGTGGGTTTTACACGAGCAATAATCTAAAGCTGCCGCAGGGGATTATATTACCCGACAAGTTGAATGAATTGTGGTAAATCCCGTTATAGTGGTAATAGGAATTATTATTTCTACTTGTTAAATAACACGACAGTCATCGACTAGACGTCAATGAATACGTAAACACGAGAATAATTTCGCAAATGATTATAGTCGAGTTGATTTTGGATAATCAATCGCACACTCATGCACACGGAAAAAAAGTGCCTTAAATTTGGACTGTAAAAGACATAATTTAAGATGTTTTAATTCCTTTCTTCTTTTTCAACAATAAATGTCTTGAAAAGGCGAAATAAATTTCTTAATTTATGCTATTTATTGCTGTGCGACGCTAATCTAAAACTACGGATGAAAACTGGTCTATTTGTCGAGTTAATGACTCGTTGGGAAATTTTTCAATCTTTGTAAATCATCAATGTTTCATAAGAATCCCGGAATTCTCGAGGAGTCCAGTGTAAATTCGATCGCACCTGGAATTTAGTGAGACCATCTGCACATTCGTTAATGCTTTCATGCAAATTGATCATTGTTTTACACCAGAAAAAAAGAGTATGTCGGAAAATCAAGTTATGCCAAGTAGTCGGGGTCGTTGCTTTGCTAATAAACTCCCAGCGTTATTGAATAATCAATCGTCCATTGAACGTCCATTGACGTGATAACCCCATGCTATGCTTCACCGGAGCAATTCATCGGAGACGTGACACTTTTTTTTTTTTTATTTATTTTTATTTTTTCTTCACCACAACATGTTTTTATTTTATTGATCGTTAAAGTTGTTTGGGGCTGTTGATGTCTACTTCCATGTGTAACAATTAATTCACTATAGTGAACGAAATGATTGGATTAGGAATGAAAGGGTATTTTGTAAATATCATTAAGGCACACAATAATATAATGCAATATATTGATTTATTTACAATTTGTAAAGATACGTGAAGATTCTTAAACTAGTTAAAAGCGCTCAATTGCGAGGTATTTCACCTATTTGTCATTTAAAAATTAATGAATTCAGAATAATTAAGTGTTATTTTGAATTGTTGCACAACCGAACGTTTTTGTATAACTTTGAGCGCTTGGGCAATTTACATTGCATTTTTTTAACTCTATTGATAAAGAAATGACAAGAGTTGATGACTAATTCCTATATTAATGTGACATTGTTTCACTTGTGAATAGAGAGAGGTAAACAGGAAATGTAATGCTCCATTTTCAGATTCAATGTGAATAGACTGGGTAAGGTTGAAAATAGTTTATAAACTATAATTTTCATAAACTATATTATCAGACTATTTTTTGATAAGCCCTAGAAATCAATGGATAAATGGATTCGTTCATATCTATATTCGATTATAATTTAAGTGGTTTCAATCAATCAACATTGCAACTGGATAAAAATTTTATGCTGGAGTAAATCAAGTGCAGCAGGAGAAGAAAAGACTGTGATGCTGTATCGCTTCAACTATATTGATTTCACAACTGGGAGTAGTTGTTCTCGGCACACGAGTATTCATCACCAATATTGTACCACGAGGATCCGAGTTATTTTTTCAAAAATTATTACAACTCCATAAACACTTGGACACTTGAACGAACGATTATTGTAACACCTACTGCAGTTGCAGAGTAACAGTGTTAAGTGATGTGATCATAAACCGATCGCGAGTACGAGCGCATTAGAATAGTAGCAGTGCAGTGACAAGTCTAGTAATTTGAGAGTACGAGATAATTAATATACCTAGGAGTAACGTTGAGTGAGCCTCTTGCGTTTATTAATTCGTTCAATTGCAATTATGTTTCGTTAGTGCGACTAGAATAACAATGTCATTCTTGGAAAAGGACGTTTTAAGGCTGAAGAAGATTGTTCTCTACTAATATTGTCATTTACAACAAACCCTGTGGTTGAAAACATGATAATCTCGAAATTAAATTGAATTAGTAAAGTACACAATGCCAATAAATAATGAGAAAATTGTAACAAAATAGTCAACTGTTATCAATAATTACTCGACTATCATAAAATGGCGATAATGTTAAATATCTGGATTTTTTCTAAAAAAAAAAAATATATATATATATATATATGATTAAAAATCGTATCAAATTAAATACGACTAGCATTCTCTTAATGACACGACATATGTGTTACTGAACCCACAACATCATTTTATTGCTTCTATTTTCTCTATTTTTCCTCGGTTATATTTAATTTATCGTCGGTAGTATTCCAAACGATATTGCCACGTTTCATGGTGGGGCTGAGTAGGGTGGTTGCTGTCAGCAATTTTGATGGTGTCTCTCGTCACCAAAATAAGATACAGATACGACGTCACCACCAACATTGATGAGACACTGGCCCTGAAATTTTCATGTATCATTCACCCTTGGAAAATGATTCAAGGATTCAAAGGCGCAAATGGCAAACTGGACAAAATTAAATTTACAAATATACAAGATCGGTTGGTTGAATTTGAGAGCAAAACATTTAGAATAATCCATGCTCAGTCGGTTTTTGTATTTAATGACTTGATGAAAGCCGAACGAAAATCCAATAGAAATCAATGGATCTGAAAATTCTATAAAGTACCCAGAGACAATTCCAACGTCTTGTCGAGTTTAGTTATGATCAGGCGTGCGGGAAATTAAATACGTTATTTTATTACATCACGAGCGACAGAGTAAAGAGTCATCTAAATTTGGTTATTTTCTTATGGATGAAAAAAAGAAACATTTAAAATGTAAAAAATTGTATGGGATATAAAGAGGACAGGACCATGTGTGGAGTTTCGAACTCTCTTTCAATAAAATTAATATGAATGATATTCATGAAAGGAGAATCAAGGTATAAGTTGACTTAACTCGCAGGATGATAGTTGAGAATGAAAAATTTTTTTTTTACTCAAATCGCTAATATATAAAATTGTTTTCCACGAATANAAAAAAAAAAAAAAAAAAAAAAAAAAAAAAAAAAAAAAAAAAAAAAAAAAAAAAAAAAAAAAAAAAAAAAAAAAAAAAAAAAAAAAAAAAAAAAAAAAAAAAAAAAAAAAAAAAAAAAAAAAAAAAAAAAAAAAAAAAAAAAAAAAAAAAAAAAAAAAAAAAAAAAAAAAAAAAAAAAAAAAAAAAAAAAAAAAAAAAAAAAAAAAAAAAAAAAAAAAAAAAAAAAAAAAAAAAAAAAAAAAAAAAAAAAAAAAAAAAAAAAAAAAAAAAAAAAAAAAAAAAAAAAAAAAAAAAAAAAAAAAAAAAAAAAAAAAAAAAAAAAAAAAAAAAAAAAAAAAAAAAAAAAAAAAAAAAAAAAAAAAAAAAAAAAAAAAAAAAAAAAAAAAAAAAAAAAAAAAAAAAAAAAAAAAAAAAAAAAAAAAAAAAAAAAAAAAAAAAAAAAAAAAAAAAAAAAAAAAAAAAAAAAAAAAAAAAAAAAAAAAAAAAAAAAAAAAAAAAAAAAAAAAAAAAAAAAAAAAAAAAAAAAAAAAAAAAAAAAAAAAAAATAAAAAAAAAAAAAAAAAAAAAAAAAAAAAAAAAAAAAAAAAGCCGAATTCATCAGATAGCTGACGTGCAATAGTAAAATACTATTACGATCTTTCGCATCAGATAAGTGTTCAATATAAATTCACAAATTTATGCGATAACTTGTATATTTCAAAGATTTAATTTCGATTTGTAAAGAATAGAAAGACAATACATTCATCTGATATAAGACCTGATTCAAGTGCTCTCTGTGTTATATGATTTTGCTCACCCAACAAAATAGCAATAGGGATTCGCTTGGCAAAAGAGGTACGACAAAGATCATAGAAAAGTACAAGTGAATGGTGAGTAGTCACACTCAAAGCAATACAAAATGCCTCACATACCTGATTCTTGTGTGAACTGTGTTGTAGTATGCACTGCATCATGAAAAATGCGACCATAGCGTTGCCACCGAGCGCTGTGATGTGGGCACGAACAATCGCTAATACTTCCGTCACGAAGCTGTGAGTGAATCCACTGAGTCCACCATTCTGAACAATTAAAGTGCCAAGAGCGATTAATAATCATTATCCTCGGCCGAGAGAATATTGAAAAACGCTGGGAAAGTTTCAATTGTATAATTACCTCTCTAATTGATGTACTCTCTCTGATAAAGAAGAAGTTCAAGTTTCCTAAGTACCTCTCAATTCTTCCACCCGGTAGATATGACAGAGGTGTTATATCCACGCCATATCTCTCTTTCAGAGGCATCTTGAAGCATTCCAAAGACAAAAAAGAAGGAAAAAAATTACTAGATTCTTCAAATAGATTGTCTGTCTTTGCTGACAGAAAAAAAACACATTTTTCCAAGATTATTTGAACTAAGTCATATGTCATAAGTCACAAGGAAAGATTCATTGAAATCTTGTTTCTATTCGATTTAATCATCTCCTAGGTACGAATTTTTTATCAATTTATGAAAGTAGCAAATTTCTCGACTCGAGATTATATTAGGTGAAAAACCTTTTTTTGTTTTCTTTTGTTTAGTTTTTTATCAGTGTTGGTTGAAATAGTGAAATGAAGTAATGGATACTTACATGCTTGTACTTATGCTGATGCGATCTATTCTTGAACGGAGATTTCGCTCGATACTTTTGATTGGAATTTATCAATGGTGAATTTGAAATCGAGGTTAATGATTGGTTGATCGCCACATGGCCGTCTGATGAACTGTTGAAATTCTCAGCATGATCTTCATCGAGACTGAATATCAAATCATTATCATCCGGCTTCTTCAGTTGATCTCTACTCGACGAATTATTAACAACACCCTTTTTTTTATATCTACTCATTTTCGTGGGCTCTCCCAGCCCCAACGCCATCCCTACAACTGTCAGCTGTATCTCGTCCTGTTCAGGAAGTGCCACTTTAAATTGCATATCACAGAGAGCACACGGCACCATTCTCCTCAGTTTAAAGAAGATAGTTTGAAGAATTCGGGCGAAATACTTGGACGGCATCGATGCAAATTGTCCAGCGGGTATTTTTGCCCTCGATATCTGAGTGAACATCTGGAGATTTCTGACTATTTCCAGATCTTCCAGGCCAGGGATGCTTTGAGTATTTACAACATGAAAATCATCAGGTGGTCTGTCGTCCATTAGAAGATTAATTCTGTCCATATCCTCGACATCGTCTACTTCCAAGACACAAGCATCTTTCGTGCCTGCACCTAAATCTAGATCAGGGAGTTCTTCATCAGAATCGTCGGTGTCTGATGTCGTGACTGCTCGACCATTTTCAATATCCTGTTGGAAAAAACGTGTGATATCCGGAAGAAAAGAAAAATAAATAAAAAATAGAAATACAAGGATGTTTATCCAACAACGTGAAATTGGAAAGAATTTTATCATTATATTTTTTATTTTTTCAACTAATAGACAGAGAGTTATCTCTCTTCTATGTTGATAATAATTAGGACTATATGAGGTTCAATGTTTCCAATATCCATTCCAATAATAGCTGTTGCAACTCAATTTTTATAATCACAAAAACTTAATTTCATCATATATCCAAAATCACAGAATTGTCATTCGACTTTGGAAAAATGGATAAGCATTCCCCCATTAAATGGGGTAATGGTAACTTACGGTTATGGGTTTAAGACGGTAATACTCTCGATTTTTCTTGACAGTTTCGATGAGATTCTTCTGTATTTCACCAAGTTGTTCCTCATTATGCCAAGAATTAGCAGACGCTATTTTCGGTATACTAGGTATTGGTAAAGCAGTCAAAAAAACAGCAGTACCCACAGCCATACCAATAACAAGCCTCTCTCCAATTGAAACCTGGACTTTCAATCCAAAAATGGCATTCATACCTTTAACTTTGAGCTTATTCAACAATAAACTGTGTAACTCATATTCTAAAAATGGTAAACAGTCTGATATCTCTTTGGCATTCAATTCACCACGCAGATCTCTCTTATTTTTACAAACAGTTGCCTGAAGAAAACAACCACGTCCCGTTGTCGGTATATTATCTGGTAATTCAATTGTTGTGAATAATACATCAGGGACTTTGTATCGTCTACATATTACACATTTTGATACATCCACTCTGAAAGGCACACTTGACTCATTGTAGGGAAGATGACAGAGGCTGCAAGCACTTTGAAAGGGTATATATGATGATGATATTTCATGATCGTTGGAATCTGAAATACGTTTAATTTTAACTGTTTGGTTTTGACAAACAACTACTGGCACCTCCTCACTCTTTTCATTTTTAGTAACAACGTTTTTCTGTGAATTTTTCTCTTTATCATTATCGAGGGCATTTGTCACTGAAGGCGTTTGCGTTTTATTGAGTAATATCTCTTGATCTTGACTAGTATTCAAGAGGTTTATCACAGCTGCTGTACCGGATGCATTCAACACGCAGACGTCATCACTGCATAAAATAATAATAATAATAATTAATTTTTAATTTTTGTTATTAAAGCAGGGTTATCAATCAGGTTTTCTCTCGGTGTAACGAGAAAAACTGTCTCCAATTACCATATACTAATCTCTTCTTTATAACCGAGAACAACATTGCAACCAAGCGCACGAGCGTGAGATCGAACTTCCATTCTAATCTCCTTCCACCAGGCGTCACGGCCCTCGGGCTCTTCCAGATTTGTAATTCTCTCTATTAACTTGACTGATCTTGCACTTACTAATCCACCTGTGAATCATTATTATTTCACCGTTACATGTGTTACATCACATTATTCGTCAATCGTCATGTAGGACAAAAAAAGAAAATGTAAAAAATGTAAATACCTATGTGCAAAACGAAGCCAGGTGGATAATATTGCATTGTTATAAATGGATACTCAAGCATCTCCAAGGTATCTTGATTCATAGTTCTAACAATTGCAGTCGACGGCCTCAAATGACCTCCCCCCATCGATCTGTCACTACCAGCCAGTGAGTTCCCTGAAGATTATGACAAAAGAACATTTTAAGTTAACACTTGTCCGTTGGCTTGGTTTGCACGTTTATTGCCCTCTTATATTTAGGAACCATTAGCAGAGACAGGTTTACCATTACGTTCTGTTTGAAGGATTGGTTTTGGTACATCCAGTGGAGGTGTATGTCCTGTTGTTAATTGTTGTTGAGTTGAAACTGTCATGCCAACAAGAGAAAATAATTTTTTCAAAATACACCAAACTCATGCAATTGCATTGGAATTAACTCAACCAACGGAGAAACGGAGGAACGACAATTGGATGCATCTTGTTCAAATGAAGTAATAATTATCATCTGATTATCATCGTGGATCGAACACTGGAGAATGCCATGAGGTTTCATAGTCACCGTAGATGGAGTTAACAAGACTACGATAGGAAAAGAACTCAAGGGGACAACAAATACCCTTAAAGTACTGAGTTTCTCAGGTAGATATAAATGACACCAATTAACAAATATATTTCCTTCACTTCAGCTCACTTCAGCTCAACAGCTGACAATTGTTTTTAATAATTGCAACCGGTTTTTTTCAGAGGTGGGGTGAAGGAGAGAATATTGAGTAAACGATTGGATGAAATATTACGCATTAATTCAACAGTGAAAAATTTACTTGAAATTAACATGTTTTCACATCAGGTCTTTTAGGGCGTTAAATTGGATTAAATATGTAAATTACAGATTTTGCATAATGAGCAAATAATTATCATTGATTCCTAAACGGTACTCACGTTTGTGAAAGAATTTACAAAATCCTGGCAGGAGAAATAATGTGAATGGAACAGAAAAGAAAATCATAACTCGGTGACAGTTTTTTATCACGAATAATTGATGATTAATGTAATGGAAATAATGATGATGATGATGATGATGATGATGATGATGATGATAATAATAATAATAATAATAATGAGGTAAACGAAAAACTTGAGGTCAATGTATAGGGAAAGCATCGTGCATTCCAATCCTTGTATTGATCATAACTTTACGATTTAATCTCAGTTCTAAGTAATAGAACAGAAAAGAATTGAAAATAAATAAATAAAAACTTGTCAAACTGTCAGGTTTGCTGCTCTATAGGGAACAGCAGACCACTTTATTAGAATTATCTTTAGGCTAATAATAAATCAAAAAGTAAGCAATCAACTCCTTAAACTGGCTACCATGTACAAGGCTTCTCCAGCAATTGGTCATTCATAAAGGAGAATAAAAACATTATCGACGATCGATTTATCCTTTAAAAGTTGAAAACTTACCCTTAGGTGTGATGCTCAGGTCAGAATCGCTGGATCTTCGATGCAGTGGTGTGGGTAGTTTAGCGGCAGGTGTAGTTGTCCCTTTGGAGCCAACAGAGGCAGGAAACACTGGGGTATTGACTGGACTCGATGATTCCTCCTGCAGTCTGGGAGTAAGAGGCGGAGAGGCCACACGCGTATCGTCAGTCATTTTAGATATGTTAGTAATATTAGTTATTGATAAATGGCTTTGTAAATCCTCCAAACTTCCCTCACTGTGACTCTTGTGCACCGAGGTGTTTATATCTCTAGGATTCAAACTTCCGGGATTAGTTGATTTTTTAATAACACTCAGGGGAATAATTTCATTGGAGTCATCATTTGGAGTGATTATTTGTTTTGATAGTTGGTTAGATAGTTGGTGGTATCTGAGGTCGTGATGATCAAGTATTATTTTATCACTAGGAATTAATTTGTCTCTTGGAATCAGTGAGTGGGGCTCGTTAAAGCTGGAAACATGTTTTGGGGAGGCTTCTATAGGGGAGGACTGTGAGCTTTTGGTGACTTTCGTGGAAACTGAAGGAGAGTTTGAAGGATACGTGGCGAGAGGTGAGATCTGGTGGTTGTGGTGCGAGTGGTGGTGATGGTGATGTCTCTCCGGAGATTTTGATCTTGAATTCTTTCTGTATGATCTTGTTCGGTGAATTGATTCTGGAGATGGTGTTGAGTTGATATGTCTGTGGGCATGTCTTTTCTTGCTTCTCGTTGAATCCTTTCGTTCCGAGTGCATACGGTGCGCCATCATCTTGATATCTATGGTTCTTAGCAAATCGAGCATACAGTGCTGACGGTATTTCTTTGTGAATCTCTCGCTCATCAGTTGAGCTTCAATGGTGTATTCTTGGGGGAATGCCAGTGTAAACTCTGGAGGGTTCTCATTGTGGATGTTCAAGTAGGGAGTATGGATGTTCATGTCTAGGGCGGCAAGTGTTGGTGGCTTAAGATGGGAGTTATCTGATTCGAGTTCTGCCGGCCCCCCCATTACTATTCTGGCTGGTCTCGGTGAGACTGCAATCGATTTGTTGTTATCTTTTGGATCTAGATGCAGACCTTTTTTCGAGGTCGATGGTTCATCTCCTGATGTGTGGGGCTTGTGGGATTTTAGCTTGGAGGGTCCTTTATAAATCACTGTTTCTGTTCTTGATACTTTTTTTGACATCTTGTCCTTCTTTTCGTGGTGATTTTTATTAGCTTCCAGAGAGCCACAATGTAATAAATACCTTTTATACGGAACTGCCAAATCTTGAGCAGTTGGGCTATCAAAGCTTTTACAGTAGGATAATACACCTGGATTCTGATGGCAAATAGTCTCTGGGTCTCTTTGTGGAGGTACACGTGGCTGCTTCACTGCCTGCTTTTGGATAACTCCTATAACTTCGGGATGGAATTTTGGTTTGTAATTGGTTTGTAATAGTTGAATATCGCTTATATCGATAGACAAGGGTGGTTCTGATACTTTATTCAGAAGCAAAATATTTTCGCTGGGTATTGTAGTTGCTTCGAGTAATTGGGAATCTAATGGTTTCTTGTTAGTTGAGGGCGTTTCAGTGTTACCTTGTGAAATAATTTCTGAAACAGTTGAAGAGAAAGGATAAATGAGGGGGTGAATATTTTCATCAGGCCCAAAGTCACAGTCAAGGATTAATCCCTCTGGAAAAGAGTTTTGTTTGGCTCTTTCAAGAGCCTTGTTGAAGTTTCTTTCATCTTGCTCTTTGGATTGCGGGTCTTCACAACTTTTACATATTTCAACTTGTCCAGAGTTTAGTCGATCAATTTTCACAATTTCTTGTGATGTAGTTTCATTCAATTGGTCATTATTATTAGACCAATCAATCCCAAGGGATGACAAATTGTCGACAATATTATCATAATCAGTGCTATTATTTTCGACTGTATTATTCAATGAATCTTCCTTTCCAAAACATTCAGACACGATCCCATCAATCTTTTCACTAGCAAGTGTCAACGAATCATCAAGAATATTATAATTGGTACTAGACTCGGAAGGTTCATCTTCATCCGACGTTGATGTATCTGTTTCAGAGGAAGATATCATCGGAACATGTCCATCAGTATAATCACAATCCTCTTTATCAAGAGCAAAAACATGGCTCTTGACATTCTCTTTAACCGCAACCTTTTCACCAGGTTCTTCGTTCGAATTGCCATCATCTGAGGTGCTGAGTGGTCTCGAACCATCGCTTAGATCCTCAAAATTATCTAGAAAATTAACTGGGGATGGAGTTGGGGTCTCTCGATCCTCAAAAACACTGTCAAGAGGGAATCCAGCGTGGACTGATCTAATCAGCAGCGCTGCAATGCCACCATCAGGCTGATTCCTTTTATGTGTAAATTTCTTTTTCCTCATAGACTGCCTCAGTTCTGAGAATGAAGATCGAGTGGAGTCTGAGCCAGCAACTGACCAAGTGCTGGAATAATAAGTCGAATCATCGCTCTCTTCATCAACAGAATCAGAGATCTTTGATTTCATCTGGATCATCTTTTTGGGTAAATACCTCAAGTTTTTCAAGCCTCGAGAGAAGGCGGAAGTCCTCTCACCCCTCATATCTTCCAGAGCTAACATTGTTCTTAAAGAAGACTCACTTATCAACTCATCTGACAATGATTGGGTCGACAAGGCTCCGGATTTTTTAAGCCGCCCTAGAGGACTACTTTGCAATGACATCTGTCGTTTGAGATTATTCGCGCTGTAATCAGTTATTCTCATGGCTGATCGAGCTGTTTTATTCCACTCACACTTGGGGAAATTGTTGCCAATCTTCGTGGCTTGAAGATTCATTGGAGAATGGGAGGGAGGGGAACTTGAGAAATTTGAAAGCAGGGGCAAACCATCATCACTCTCTGAACAATCGAGTTGGCTTTTAGATTGTTGTGAAACAAAATACGAAAGGCTAGAACATGCACAGACATGCAGGTAACACACGGGGAGATAAAGATTGATTAATTCATTTTCTTTAGTTTTTTCCTCTCAATTCTTGTTCTACACTGTCAAGAATTTTGACTACAATTTTTCAACGAAACTATAAATTTCAATGACTTTCGCTAAATGTATTGAGTTACTCACTCTTCAACATTCTGGCTGTCATTCGTTATGCTGCTGATGTCCTGTAGTTTTATAAGAGTCACTGCAGTACCAATCCCTCGAGCAACGATACCTGATTCTCCCTCCAAATCGAAATTCTGACAGTAACTGAAAATTGAATGGGCATTGGGTATTTATACTAGTAAATGTGATTTCTTGAGTGAGTGGTTTAAATTAAATAGCCAATTCAACATACCCAATCACAGCATTTCCACCGAGATCCAATGCTTTTAAACCTATTTTCCTCTGGACTTCCCCACTGAGCTTGATGAATAACGTCTGACGTGCCTCGTTCGACGCTCGTGGAGTCCTTATCTTATCGATCCACTTGTACTCTGGGTCGTCACTTACAATGAGCTCTTCTACGAATCCGTGGATAACTTGAACATGGTATCCTTGGGGAACATTTGGGGCTGTAGAGAATTTTAAATGTATTTAAAAGTATTGAAGGAAATGAAACTAGTTTGATAGTTATATTGTTGTCTTTCATAGTGGAATGTCACAGAGCGAGTCGATTTTCTAGATTTTAAGTAGTGAATAATCATAATCATCTTGATATGATGATTATGATTTTACAACACTCGTTATGAATAAACAATGGAAAAAATGGAAAAATAGACTTGTTATGGTTCACCCCTCAACAACTGCCTCCATACAATACCTACAATAAAAGAATTGAACTCCACAAGATGACTGTCGAAATTTATTGAAGTCGGAGAACAATTCTACTTTGACTATGATGCTAACTTCCCCTCTAATTCCATGCATTGTATCAAATACAGGGATCCAACCGGTCATTACAGAACCTGTACAGATTGAAAACAAATTATAAGAAAATGTCAGGTCCCATTGACACTTGATTATAATTTCCAATATAACTTACCCCCTTGAGATCCAGTGCTCGAACAAAGTGAAGCCTCCAATGTCCAAATGTTCTTAACAGGTGGAGGTAAACCCGGCAATAAGAGTGGATTGAGATTCAAATAAACTTTACCAATAGCATCATTAGCAGAATACGTGTCATGATCCATTAATCTGAGCTGCAGGGGTTCGTCCTGCAGCTCAGCATCATCAACTTCAAACCTGTACCACTCAGAGTTCCACTGGGGATTGAGAGTCTTTCGGCACACATCAGTCTTGTAAGTTGTATTTCCGAATTTGATCTCTACATAAGCATCAGTTGTATCACCAGAACGATCCATAACTGGCAGATTTCTTCCTGCCAGAATTCTCACTTTTATTTTTCCTGGCATTTTGACGAATTTATTGATTGTCTGAAATTATTTCCAAAACGGCGTTGGTCCGCTCTTGTCCTCCACTATTGAATTAAATTTTTACTTTTAGTATGAATATTGCATTTTTCGCAAAAATTGTACGTCTTTCGAGAATAAGATGATCATTTGGAGTAGAGAACTTTGCTTCACTCGTCTTTGTCAAATTTTTTGGCTAGTGGAACAACACATCATTATCAAGGATTCTATTTTTACAGCGAAATGATTTTTACATTAGAATCATTGAGTGTAGAAAATTTGAAAACAATTATTGACGTAAAAGAAACTCAAACTATGGTATTGAAAATTTTTTTAAAACGTTAAACCGTTAAAAAATATCAATAAAAACATACTCACCTCTGGATGTACTCAAATAGGTTAAGTGTGCACCATTTTTAAAGATTATTATACGTCAGCACTTGAACACTTCCGTGCCAACAACTTATAAATACCTCTACAGACTACATTTTTTAGAATGATGAATAGCCCCAATGTTAGATCGATACACTATTGAATTTGAAAATAATGCATTTGATAAATTTAAAATACTCCAACGGTTTCACTAGTTTAACGTGGAGAGAATATTCAAGAAAAATTAGGGTGAAATCATCGCCGTAGCCGTTATCTAAAATAAACTACAAGTTTAATAATAGTCATTTATAATGATCTTTCCATAAAAATGGTGATTATTCGGAAATAATAAAAGAATTGGAGCGTCTGACAAGTTTTTACACGCCAAGAATTCCAAATCGGACCTCTCGCGGCACTCGCGCACACTATCTCCGCGCATATCCAAGATGGCTACATATACAGGCTCGCGATAGTGAACGGCGTGCGTGGCCCTGTTTAGTCATTATTATTCGGTGTATTCTTGAGTGGAATAAAACTAAAATGGTGCAAATAATGATAAACAAAGTCATAAAACATGGATAAAAATTAGTGCAAATGAATTTTGTGAGGAAATTGGCCCTAATTGTAATTAATTAAAAAAGGACTAGAGTGCCTCGGAGAGTGACGTCAAGCATCATGATGGCGGCTTGGGACTCGGCGTGTTTGGACTTGTTTGGCTTTTTTTTATCAATTGCAATTAGGGACGCTTAATAACAAGACGCCCTCTATGAATGTCTGCGTTAAGGGTGCACATCTACGATACACAAGCAAATGGGGGCTTGTGTGAACGCGTGGGTGTATGGGCGCGTTTCGCAATCGACGTAGTAGCAGTAGCAGTACTGCAACCCTATATTTTGCTTTACTGCAGCTACGGTAGTTGATTCCGAAACGCACCCATACCTCTTTGACGGCCATATTGGCAAAAAACCGCGCCCTCAACGATATTTCCTGTTCCCAATTTCCCTCAAATTTTTCTAGTGTGCAATGCCAAATTTCACCATTGCGCAACTCCTCCGCGCACATTCATCATGGCGGCTGTCCACTGGCAGGGGAGGAGGTTTTGGCGTTCGTCCGCGGATTTTCGGTGAGAAAGGGGGTTAAACCGGGGAAATAATTATTAATCGTGCAGTAATCAGTTAATATTGAGTGCCGGGGATGATTTTATCAACAAGTCAGACTTTATTAGTGCATATTATTAAGCCCAGATCTGTAAAAAGTGCAATGCTATACATATTTCGTCATTGCGCAACTCCTCCGCGCACATTCATCATGGCGGCTGGCCACTGGCAGAGAATGGAGGGTTTGGCGTTTGTCTGCAGATTTTCGGTGAGAAAGGGGATTAAACCGGAGAAATAATTATTTTTCATGCAATAATCAGTTAACATTCATGGAAAGAAAGGATTTTATCACAAAAACTCAGACTTTATTACTGCATTATTACAGAATCGAGACATCATGGCCGGCCTTTGGTACTGCAAGGATAGAGAAGGATGTGAAGGTAAAAAGTGGGATTGTAGTTGAATTTTGGAATATATATGCCAAGCCGACGGGTGTTTCAATGACCGGTGAGTCCCCAAAATATTAATTACTTTATTCTTTAATTGTTGATTTCGTTGGTGGATAACTATGAGAAGAGGGACGAATAAAATGACAACACAAGTCTCTTCAGATCGTAAAGGAACAATAATAATCTAAAAACGTTCTTCCAGTGAATAAATCTAATGTTTCCGTATTTTCGACGGCTTTGTTATTCACAAATGTCAACTAAATTTGTTAGGCTTTTTTTCATTTCGCATTTTCTCCTCGAGGGAGACCAACGATACTTTCGTGCTATAAAATGCTCATAATTAATTTTCATTTTCACCTGGACCAAGGGTCGGATTTTGGATTTTCTCACAGGGACAGTCGAGTTTCGCGAAAATCCAAGTTTTTCCTCATGTGAATGTTGATACTGTATTTACAAATTTGTTCCGGGGAAATTTTGTCCTATAATTAATTAATATAATTAAGAAATAGAG